GCTAAAGAAAAAAGACAATCACCGTTTAGTTTCCTAATAGAGTTTAACTCCAATTAAGGGATGTTCTGGCAAGGGAAAATCTTATGAAAATAAAAAAAATCATACACGCCGAGTAGCCCTAAAAAATATTCCTGCGCTGGCCAAAAAAGAATCATGCAAGGGAAATATTAACGAAAAAAATTCATGCACCTCGAAAACTCCCACTCCCACCTCATAACAATTCTAATGGTCCAGTCCTTAACGATTTTAAGATTTCCCTTAGTATCACACGGACAAAATGACTTAGATGAATAAACTTCGTAATACAAAGACAGACAATATAAATAGTTGTTATTTGTTATATGAAGAGAAAATTTTAACTAACCAGCTTTTAGTCACTGATATATCCAATTAGACAAAACATCAATTTGAACGTAAATCACGTCAGTTACTCACCTCGTATAGTAACAGAGTTGAACAGGAAGAACCGGCCAAAAATACCTTGATCAAGGAATCTCGAGCTACTCCAGTTGGTTGTGAAACAGAGCGCACATTGATCTGTATTTATTGCCTTCATTCTATGATATGAATCACAATATTTCCGCTCGGCCTATTGTTTCATTATTTGCTATTAACAGAAACAAGTTGAAGACACGTTTGTTACGGCAAAACCGCAAATGGGAAGTCTTCTCCTCTGTTTGCCTCCCTTCTTTTACTCGCCGAGTCTATGATTTACTTCCTTGCTGTCTCAGTGTTTATTTATCTGACACCTACTTGATCCTTGTCTAAAACATTCGTGTTACCCGAGAGACGTAAAGGGCAACTCTAACTTTTTGTTTTTTTCCGTGAGTTGCCACGATGTCTATATTCTAAGCTTTATCAAGAAAAAAATAATCTGTAGCCTAGTCGATCTCTCTTGCCTTTATAGAAAGGTTCACCTAAGGCATCCTGTCATTTGATGTAAACAGTATCCGCCAAATTAGAAATCGAATCAAAATTTGGTTTCAAACAACGACGATTTTTGCAACAACACTGTACGGCGTAAAATCGCTACCGCTGTCAGTTCGAAATCATGCAAGCCTTATGAAGAGTGGTCTAAATAATCGTAATTAAAATGGCACGACTTTGAGTTAGCTGCTTCCGGTTTGTTCAGTTTCCGCATGAAAGGATAGATATAATATAGATATAATCTATCATATCTAGCAAAGGGATGAGTCTTTGAGACTGAAGGGTAATCTGAGTAGCCTAAGAGAGTATGCCCTTAACATTTTTGATTATTTTCACTTCACAGTTTTCTCGGCTTATGAAACAGAACCCATCTGGTCTCACGGGCTAGGTTATTAAAGGCATTCAGATTTTAAAGGAAAGATGATTTTAAACCTTTTCAAAATTCTCTTAAAAATTCAAATTTTGTTACCTTCCCAGCTCTAGATCCTAAGAACTGGTACTACGCCGGAGTCCTTTCAAAGAGTTTTATTTAAATGGTAACAACATAGGATTTCGGTCAAAGAATGTAAAAGTTAGAGAGAGAATTTCACACAATGTGTGAAAGGGTTCGACTTAAAGATACCCTGAAAATATTTTAATTGGAGGAATCATTCAACTCTGTCCACCAGGGCGGATAAAGGTTGGGCGGTGAAACTAGCACGTCCGAGCAAAAAGGTGTGATGCAGTGGACTGGGACTCTGCTTAGAAATGTCGCTTGTTTTCGACTTTTCAGGGCTTGCGATATGATGTGGTCTGTACATTAGACACTGCCGCTGTCACTGAATTATGGTGGCTTGAATGGTTTTCTTGTACTTCTTCCTCGTTTTAAGGGGTTTCTTTTATTACTTCCATGACTCTACCACTGAATTATATTTTCGTTCTGCTACTCGCCAATGTCGATGTTATTCCAAAACAAAAACAGCTAAGTACATTCTAAAACACGACGGAAAATCTCATCCATGTCATCCATGGCAAAACTAAAAGACAGCAGATCGATCGTGTTTCATAACTAGATGACGTGTATTTTATAAATGCGTGCAGCTCGTGCAAGGTGAAATTATGCTAATTTCAATCACCATCATCCTCGATAACATCTCAGACGTCTTTCTGTTTCTTCGAAACTTCAAAATTAGTTTTCCCTCAGTTTTTTCTGTTTACCTTGTTTTGTTTTAGAGAGAAAAACGGAGAAAAAACCTTACAACTAACCTCAATAAATTTTGTTTACATGCGGTTGCCGGATTTACAACGCATTGTGCGAATCGCCATGGCGCGTTGCACCCGAGAAGCAAAGTTTGAAGAAGTACAACGCCACTATATCAATATATATCAATCTAATTTTTTGTTATGTTGTATAAAATTTATCCTCCTTTAACATATGTAAAAATTGAGGTTAAGAAGTATTAAGCTTTTGCAAACGAAACGGCGAAAGACGATTAGGTGATATTTAGTGGAAGGAGGAGGTATTCAACACTTTCAAATTAAACTCAAATTTTGGCGTTATACGACCAACAAGTCTGACTTATAGACGTACAGACACAAACATATGAAACTGTTTATTGATATTGTTATGAAACGGATTTATCTATTTAACACTGTAGCATGAAATTACAGAAAGAAAATAGGATTTCCGGTTTGCAAAAAGGAAAATTTCGCCGGCCTTGAAGCGCACCGGAAGCGCGGAAAGAGCGCTCGTGCCAGCTACTTCGCATCACACATTAAATGAAGAGCGGAGCGCTCGTTTCACCGCCCAACCTTATATCCGCCCTGCTGGCCACCGCGCCGCTCCGTCGTCATTCATTTAACCGAGAAAAATTGTGCCTTAATTTGGACTATATAAGGGAAAATTAAAGGGGCTGCCACCAAATTGAGTGAAACAGAAAAAAGCCGCTAAAAACAGCAGAGAGCGCCTTTATAACAAGGCAAGTACAAAATTAAAGGCACCGATGCATGAATAAAAAAAAAAGTTGAAGAAGGTTAAAACGGATTGCAATTGTGGGTTTTGAAAACTTGTTAGCCTAACAGTTTTTCAAGATTCTCTTTCGTTCTATTTAACATTTGATATAACGCTTAGAAGGCACCTTTGTTGGAGAGGAAGATGTAATTTTTCATTAGTATTTTTTTTGGCTAACGTTACGTTCCGGATATATGGCGTACGTACTAGGACAGCGATTGACGGGCAAATAATGAACAAGTTGTTTATTGAGAATCGAACCAATGAGGAAATCATAAATTTTGGGCTAATTTTCTCATCGAATTTTTCACGATAATTAAAACCTTCAAACTTTACTATGTTCCCTTTTAAGAATTCATAAGCTTAATTTTGCAGTGTAATGTATGAAGAAACAACAGAATCTAATCAGTGTTTTAAATATACTTAAGTCGTAAACGCAAATTTCTTTCACTTTAACACTTGTAAAACAAATGTAATGGAATTAGATCGTGTATCAATTGCAAAATTAAGTTGTCTTGGAATACCGGTAGTGAATAAGGGTGCCTACGATCAAACTTAAATCTCATGGTACATATCGATTCCGAGGCGTCAAAGTGCGTATTATGGTGGCCTAATCAATAGTCAGTTTTAATATTTTTACGATCCGGGGTAATTTACAATGAACCTCAACCTGATTACTTTCATTTTATTCACTTATTTTCCTTTAATTCCCAAAACAGTTTGCTTGTTTCTCGAACTTCAATCTTGTTTAACAGACAAGTTCTCTACTTGATTCCACTCTGTTTGATCACCTTAAAATATAAAACAATAAAAATTAGTCTAAGAAATAATTCGTAATTAAGCCCCTAGCTTAGTAAATGATCTTTTGAATATCAGATTAACCAAATGAATCATGTTCATTGGCGTAATTCAGGAATTCTTTGAAAACAGGGTGTAAAAATGAGACTGGAACAGTGAAGCCCCGTTGTTGGGAAAAATATAATTGTTATATAATGTAGAAAAATAAGCCCGCTCAATACATTGTAAGTTTTCTTTTCTTATTTTGATCGTTAAACCGCCTTGAGATTACAAATGAATCGTCATGATTGAACAGCGACTTTAAGTACTCACTCATCTTGCCGCCATATTCATGTTCAGCTGGGGTGTCACGACCCATTCCCCAGCTTCTTCGTCTTCTCCGGCTTCTTCGTCTTCTCTTAATTTTAAAAAGAGGTTCCGCAGTATGAAAAAGCATGTCAAGAAGCATCATCAGCAGAAGAAATTTCCACATTGTCTTTCCTCTCATGGTTGTCTGCGTGAAGAAAAAATGATAATGAATGAATTTTCTGTCTCCGCTCGCTTGAAAACCAAAAAGACATTAAGATCTGTGCCGTACGGCGACGGCGGCGAAAATGTCGCTTAAAAAGTAAATTAGCATTCTTTCATTACTACCCAATTAATTTTTCAAATGCAGGCGAACTCTCCTAACCATATCCAAGTTCAGAAATATAAAGAAAATTTCGTCGTCGCTTATTTCATCAAGACATCCGTTATGAAACTTGAAATTCGGTATTTTTCACGCCGTATTCTTAGTAGTCGTTTAGTGATGGCAAAGAAATGTACCAAAAAAGTATGCAGTACGTGCAAAATTGTTGTTTTGCTCGATTAAACCGATTCCTTTTTATACATTTTCCAGTTGTGGTTGCAGTCGTTGGATCTTATAAGTTCCCCAATAACTTGGGAACGCCGGCGGGCGTTTTTGGAAACGTTCATAGTTCTTAATTTGACCCACAATCACTTCAGTTTACCCACCTTCAATTAACTTTGTATTGAGCAGAAAAAAAGAATGCAATTGATGAATTTTGGCTATTAGTCTTTGACTTAGAAAAGTACTCCGCAACTTTTGCCAGCGCTAAAGGTCAAAACATCGTTACCGGCACTGACTGCTATTGGCCGCGCAGGTAAAAACACGTTCAGTTGATTTTGTAGCCCACAGCCGCACTTACTATACCTTACACATCAGACAGGGATGATGCTGTGGCTGTGCTCGGTAATCTAAATTTCTCAGTGTCAAGACGGAATCAATTGAATTTTTAATTCCGTTCCAAGAGATCTAGAATGAAATACTTTTTGCAATGTTCAACTGATGCAATGAACCTGATCAAAAACTGATAGAGGTTTTAATTATACATAGTGAAGACGGTCATGAATTTCCATATTGACGCTTTCCTCATAAAAACTCTCTCTGATTAGACAGAGTTCATGCAGCATCATTTCACATGAAATTACTTCCATCATTTAACATATGACAATTAAAATACCCTCATCATAGCTCGAATTTGAATTAATTGATAAATGTTTTTTATTGTTATTACTTTTTGATTATGTCGCCAAATTCTTATACAAACCGGATGTAAAGTGGTAAACGCTAGCGCTGCGAACCTTTCATTGCGCTAGTTAAAGTAAAAGTAAGCGCGACGTACGCTGTGTTTTTACAGCAAATAATAATTTTACAGAATGAAGGCTAATGCTGCCGACAAACCGATTTAGGGAATAGTTAGCTCTCCGTTCATTTTTGACACGTCATATATAAATCAATTTAAAGCGATATATAAAACAATCTTACCAGTGTTTTCAGCGATGCTTGAGGTCAAAAGTACGTACCAACTACACTTCAACAATATAAATTTTTAACGTTAAAAATAGTCGAAAATGGTACGGTATGTGTTTAGCTACAAAAGGAAGTTGTTAAAAATGAATGACATTCTCCGGCATCCCCTACTTAGCAAACAAAAATATGCAAATACAATTTACTACTTCAGTGTCTATTATTATGCGTGAATTCGAAGTAATACACTGACATTTCTCGACACTAAAAGGTATTGAAATTATAAGTTCATTGACGGGCTCTTGATATAAAGCGACAAAAGAGATTTTCAGCGAAAAAAAAAATGACGAAAATGGAGAACTGTGAAATAGTTACGAAAGAAAGCTAGAACAGGATCTTGAAAGTCTTCTCCATCTTCTTCTGAGCAACATAAGGTAACATGCAAATATATTTTAATATGCTTCAGACTGCTATTGTGTGCCTCAAGAAATAAACTTGCCTTCCTCTCTAATACTAAAAGAAAAGAACATTCCCGTTTCTCCGGTTGTCTTGTCTTAAACACAAGAGACAGAGTCATATTACTTCGATTAGAATATAGAGACTAATAAACTTAAGCTAGTAAGCATCTTTTACGTTACTCTACATTCTCTACAGCAATTAATTACTTAAGTCCGCCATTAATTACCTAATTACGACAGATTTGATTGACAACGCGATACTACAACGGAAGGAACTATCTATTGGGCATATTTATTACGAAATTAGTGAAAATCAGAGAGAGAGCGCTAGCAAAAGAGGTGGCAATAGGTTTCAGCACTGAAGCATAGTCATTAAGAATAAGAAATTTTTTTAGCCCAATGTAAGGAAATCCAGATTCCGGAATTCGAGGAAACTTTTGCTTATGGAATCGGGAATATAGCTCAAGGAATACGGAATTCCACCAAGGATTGGAATCCGGAATCCAAGTCCCACTGACAACGATTTGGAATCCAGTACCTGGAATCCGGAATCGATGGCGTGGAATTCAGAATCCAAGATTGTCTTGGATTCCCTTTCATTTTGCGATGTTTTAAGAACAGTTAGCCTTTTTTCAATAATCATGAAGCTGAGCACATGCCAAGTACGGTACGTTAGAAATACAGTCGACTCCCGATAACTCAAACCCCCTATAACTCGAACCTTTCGCTAACTCGAAGCAATTTTAATTTCATATCCCTTAAGATCGTCTTCTATATCATTTTCCCCTCGATAACTCGAACTCCCGATAACTCGAACTTTTTTCTATTTCCCTTGAAGGTTCGAATTATCGGGAGTCGACTGTAATGACAAAATGATGTCGAGGGAAAGGGACACCGGTCGTTTCGCCAACGAGTCGTTTCGCCAACGGTCGTTTCGCAAACGTCTCCGGTCAGTTCGCAAATATCTCTGGTCAGTTCGCAAACGTGTAGAAGTCAGTTCGCAAACGTTATAAACATTGACATGTCAACCTACGTTTTAACTGTACAGTTCAGAATACTAACGTTATGCCTAAATTATTGGGTCTGAAATTTAATGTTACAAACATTTACATGTCAACCTGGCTTTAACTGTACGATTCAGAATACTACATTACTTACTCGTTGTATGCGTAAATTATTGGATGTGAACTCTCACCGCTTATTTCCCGCTAAAGTATATTAAACGTGGGAGAAAAACTGGCGCGAAGAAAAGTTTTTCACGACTTTTTCAGACCTGAAAAACTCTTACAAATTTTTCCACCTGTTTAGCCCCTGGGTTTCCGAGGTAGACTGGGATAAAAAATAGGTTGTATTTGCGCCTCCATTTTCAGCTATTTTTGTCCAGCGGAATTACAAAAATGCAAAATGGCGGCTGTTGTGAGTTCTATACCAAAGTTGACAAATCTATGGTCTACTCAGCTCCGATGCTTTCATCTTTCCACATTTCTCTCGCAAATAAGAGTTCTTACGCGCCCGATTTGTACTTATAGTGATTATAATCCTTTACTAAACCAAGAATTCTTGCCACGCTTCAAGGAAATCCAACCCGCTCATGTGGCTCCAGCTATCGAACAGCTGACCAAAGATTTCGAGAATGATTTTATTGAGTTTGAGAGAACATTGAAAGGTAATTGTAAGGTTTTAAAATATTCTAATTAACTACTATGCTAGCTGTGTAAAATACTCCAGCGCAACCAGCTAGTATGAGCGACTTCCAAACACGAATGGACTATGGCATTTTGATATATTATCAGATATTATGCATCAGTCAATTCCCGGTACTATCATGCCCCCCTCCCCCCCCCGGCTGGGACGCAAACGACCTCGTCCTCATCAACACTGCGGCACTTTTCATTGATCACACAGCGAGTAGTGCATATTAATGTGTGATTTTGCGTTTTGGTTAACTCTTGCCTGTGTAAAAATGGCATTCTAATTGAGACTTTGCACGCAATGACACTACTTCATGATTGTTATTTTATTATAGCCTGTGAGCAAGCTCACCGCGCCCTCTGGCGGCGGGTTGGAAAAGGAAGAAGTACTTGCAACTACGTCTCTTTAATTTGAATATCTGCATCAAAAAAGTCAATGCAAAATGCTGATTTGCGGTCAGATGACGTTAGCAATGACATCATTACTCTTGGCATGTGTTTTTCATTGTTTGTTTACATTTGTGCTCGTTTCTGCTTCGCGCTGATTGGTGGAAATCTGACAACTCAGTCGATGGGGAGACACGGGAATTGGAGGTGGAATTCAAATTCAAGAGATGTAGTTGCAAGCTCTCCTTCCTTTTCCCGCCCCACCGCCAGAGTGCATTAGGAGAGCTTGCTCTCAGGCTAATTTTATTATTATTGTCTATTTCTTTTAAATAGTTCTTTGGTAGTGTGCTGTATTAAAAGTTATCTGTTCTGAATAGTTGAATAATATGAAAAAGTGGATGAAGTTCCTCAAATGATACATAATCATAGCTAAAATTAGAAATATCACCATCGCCAAATTTATTCAAATCCTAGAGCAACAGAAATTTCTTTCCATAACCAAAAGAAAAAATGTGTAAATTCACATCAATAACTCCTGACTTCTGGCTTGATAAGTAATGAAGAAATGCAGGTAGACCTATATTCTCCAAAAGCCTGGCGCCAGGTTTTGCTGTGGGGAAAAAATGGAAAAAACGGAGTGAAACGGCATAGAAAATTGGTGAGCGGAGTGAGCTGAATAGCAGACTAGACTGGTTTCCCTCCCCAGACTACAGCTTTTGTTTTGTTTTGTTTTCTTTTTTCGCCTTTTTCCCCAACTGCGGAGCCTGGTCCCAGGCTAATTCTCCTTGAGTAGACCCATATTCTTCAGCTCAGGGGTAGACTGATATTTTATGGAATTCTTCAGGGTTGCATGCAATTTTATTCCATCTTCAGGGGAAGAAAGAAAATGATAATATTATGTACTCTAGCTGCCATAATACTGATTCAATAATTTGTTAATTAAACAAAAAAATATATATTATGTATACCTATGGAAGACTCTTACAAATTTCCCTGAAGTCACATTTTACTAATCAGAATATTATAGTCTCACCTTGCTACTGCATGATTAAGAAAAAGAAGAAGAGTCTCCTACAGTTGCAGCTCAACTGAGAGAAATTGTTTGACTTACAGTACATGTATGTTCATGGACTGTACATGTATTTGTGATGGGGGTATGGAAAAGCCGGAATACGGAATTCAGAACTGGAGCCGGAAACGGAACCGGAACCGGAACCGGAACCGGAACTTAAATTGAGACTGGGGTAAACAGGGAAGCACTAAAACCAGTTCCGATACCCATGTAGAAATAAAATTCAAGATGGCGTCCTCTGTTATCATTGTTTTGAGAAATTTTCAGCACAGTGATCTTGATACCAAAGATATACTCACATTCGGAAAGTGACTTGCAAAAAAAACAGAAGGTAAATGCATCCTACTGTTATTCCTAGCAGTCATAAACTGTGACTGCAGTGGTAGGTCGAGCAATTTCTGACAGATCGAGACGACAACGAATCAGAAGCCGATTGACTGCGAAAAACAGCCATTATTAGTATGTGATGTTTAAGACCGCTGTTTTATTCATTTCCTTCTCTTGAGCCTAAGTTGCTCATTTCTTAAAAGGGCTCCGTGTTACATCCATTGTGAGGGAAGGCGGCAAAGGGAGGAGGCGTACTCATGTCAATCATGATCCCAAGTTGCAACGCTCGCGCGTATATGAAATTCTCAAAGAAAAACTTTGCACCGTATGCAAAAATTGCGACAGTAAAAAATATAATAACAAGAAATAAATATAATGTGGGGATGAAAAGTCTTGATCGAACAATAATTGTTTGTGACACTCTTCAAGACAGAAACGTCTCCAATTTTTATTTTTTAGGTTCCGGTTCCGGCTCCGGTTCCGGATTCCGCATTCCAGCTTTTCCATACGCCCATTTGGGACCCGCTAGTTTTATAATCAAGGCATCAAGGCAATGATATTTATCTTATGACATGTTTTTAGTTTTTAGGGAAAACAATTCCGCGAGTGATAGAGCTTGGGAAACAGTTATTGAGCCTCTGGAAAAAATAGGAAGTCAGCTAAGTTATGCTTGGGGAGTGGCATCACATTTAAATGGAGTTCGTAATAGTCCAGAACTACGTACTTCCTATGAAAAGGTAAGCATTCTGTTCTTGATAGATCTTTATACCACAATGACTTAATAGCTTTTAGTTTCACCCTTTTTTCTGTTGTAGTCACAAGAAGATAGAAACAAAGGCAGAAGTATGCAGCACCCATCATGCAATTGCATGTACATGTAACTTAAAGGGGAAAGGCATAAAACTCTCAAATAAATTGTAATCAGCCCTGTTAAAATGGGCTATTTGGCTGATTGTAATTTTGAAGTGGGTTTTTACTGTCATTTAAATTTGCATATTTTACTGTGTTTTATCAGGTTCAACCACTAGTTGTCAAAGTGGCCATGAAGGCAAAACAGAGTGTTCCTTTTTATGATGCACTTTTGGTAAGTATAATGCTCAATAGTAATGGTACACGCGCAAGCTTTACATAAGGCATTCTTCAAGGTTAACTATAATGCAAAACTCATAATTAAGTCAGTCCAGTTCATTTTGTTTATCTTAATTTTCATTACTGAAGCTAATAGAACTTAACGATAGTAAGTAAACTTTTAAATATTAAATTGTAAATGACAAAATCACAGCTCCACAGGAATCAATTGCCTCCAAAGCATTATCAATATTCAAGTTACATACAGCAACGATGAACCTGGAAAAACTGTCAGACTATATAACATGTGTGCAATTTGTGTTTAAATCTTTTTTGAGTTTTGTCCCTCTATGCCTTCTTTTGTATTTGCTCTGTGTCATGTCAATTATCTTTAAATGTTTTAAACTGTTATTTTCACAATAATAACTGGAAGGACAGCATAATTTTGTGGCCAAAATTCTCACTTATATCTCTCTGTATTCAAATTGGATATACAGGTATAATGTATCCTTGTAGAAGAGTAGTCACTCACCAGTTTTTGAACTCAGGTATAGGTTTATTCTGTACACTGTAAACTGCTTTCCGTACACTCTTAAAAACTGTAGACTCCAAGAGTAAAAAAAACTGGTAACTCATTCCGCTCTATCTTGATGGTTTTAGTTTTAATGCTGCTTGATCGCATTTATACTTAAAAAATGTCCTTGTGGGAGTTAATTAACACTAGGTTGTAAGCACTAATTTTAACATGACCACGCTTTTAAAACACTTAATTGGGCATAATGTAAAACAGTATCTCTGTCTTAAAGTCTGTGGCTAGGATCTTTTATTTTACTGCTTATACACTGTATAAACCAGCTGACATGACCATCTTATTTATTTACATGTGAAAGAAAGTTGAGAAGGACCAACTTACACTTGATGAAGGGCAGCAGCGCATAGTAACGGCTTTTCTAAGATCAGCCAGAAATGGTGGAGTTGGCTTGAAGGGAAAGGAAAAAGAGAGATTCAACACCATTCAGTTGAGACTTGCTGAGCTAGGAAATAAATTCAGGTAAAATTATGGTGCAAGGCTCACATTTAACAGGGGCACATTCACTTTCGTGGGCATCACAGATTGAGTTCTTCTTATCTTTTTTCCTTTTTTTAGTGCACGTATCCGTCTTTTGAAAGTGAATAGAAACAACTGCACCATTGTACTATTATTACTTTTTTTTTATCGAATGTGAGGGTGATCAAGACACACAACAGCTGGTTGTCTATATGCTCAAATCTAGGCATATGACTGTGCGAGTGTCCTCCTTCTCCTCCTCCTCCTCCTCATCATCATCATCATCATCGTTGACATTGTCATCATATCATAATTAAATGGTTTTAGTGCCAGAAAGCATGCAAGGCCCTACTGGTTCTTCAGGTAGGGGATTTAAGGCAAAGTTAGAGCTAAGGTTACAATAGACTGCCTCAAAAAAGATTTAAAATACAGAAACCAGAAAATTTGACAATTCTCCGATATTCTTTCACTTGTGTAGTAACAATGTCTTAGATGCAACAAAGTCATTTTCAATGGTCTTGACTGATCCTGAAGATGTTGCTGGATTACCATTGTCACTGCTGAAGTTAACTGCAGAGGCTGCAGCAGCAGCTGAAAGTACTGGTGCAAGTAAAGAAGAATCCAGGTTTTATATTTTGATAATTCTATACTGCATTGTGGTGATTAATTAGTATCCACATTAAGCAGGTGAATTTTTGAGAACACAATGATTGAGCTTTTCATCAGGGCAAATGAAACTGTCTGTCATATGTGGGTATCTATAATAAGCAGGTGTCCATAGAGCAGGGTTTCACTGTACAGCATTTTCCATTCAAAGTATATCCATTAAACAATTGAAGGAGAAATCGCCCACAATCTAAAAAATAATAATATAATATCGCTGTTATGTTATAAAACAGAGTTAGTGCTTTAATAAACTCACTATATGATATATTTAATTTGCCAGCAAGCACATTGATCCCATGGCTGGACCTTGGAAACTTAGTTTGGATTTGCCATGTTTTGAGCCCTTCATGAAATACAGGTAGGTACGTGTAACTTAGGTAAAATTGAAATACTCACTCCAGACGGTCTAATAGTAAAAACGATAACGATAATCTTATGCTTTGAGAATTAAAATTTTAGAAAGGCAGTTCTACTTTAGCAATTAATCCAATAATTAAAGTCCCCCCCCCCTCCCAAAAAAAAAAGAAATCGTTAAAATTGTATGAGCGCAGACTTTTGGTTCCGCCATGATATAGTGATCCAAAAGGAACATGTCACCTGGTCAAAAAATTAATTTACACTATCCTTGACACTATTTATAAAACCCTGGAATTCTATTAATGTCTTATCTGTTATAGGTATTCTGAATTTGGGTTTACATGCACACCTTAAATATGATCTTGAGTTTTTTGACGAAGTAATGTTATTTTCAGAGAAGAACAAAGAAATGCAACATTATTTTTAATCAATGATTGTTACAAACTCGTTTTCGATTAACAGTCAGAGTAGAAACCTGCGTGAAAAAATATACATGGCATATATCACAAGAGCATCACAAGGAGATACTAATAATTCAAACATCATTGAGGAAATAAGGCAATTAAGGTATGGTAAATAATTGAAATCTGCACTTCAATACCACCTGTACTTGTAACTGTTGCCTACATGTATATTTATGAAATCATAGACCCTTCCACGGCATCTTTCAACTTTTGAGTGGGTCCAGCGAAAATCCGTCTTTAAAGAACACCTCAAAATTAGTAAAAGATGTCAAGTTTGAATGTGTTTTTTTTTTAAAACTAACGAAGATAAAGCTCCGCAAAGACGTTTGTAGGGTGGGGGGCAAATTTCTGCCCCAGCTCCACCCCCTCCCCCCCCTTACTACACAAAGGCTTGTATAATTTCACGACTTCTTGCAGAAATATCTTCACTCTCTTCTAGCGTATCAATTTTAAACTTAGTAAGCTTCCTAATTTTAGATACTTTCTTGCAGTAGCGTAGATATATTCGCTAACTGGCGTTTATCAAAACTTGAAAAAAAACAAGAGCATGGGTCTATTCACTCGGCTCTTGTATAAGGGGAATTTTGTGCTCCATCTGGATTTGTAAATCTAAATGTTTATAGCCGGAGGTATGAATTGACAATTGGCCTTCAAGCACAGTTCACGGGTGCTATTAAATTAATGTGACTTAACGGCTAGTTACTCATGGAATTAATTTATTGACCCTATGTTGCGCATTTTAGGCGAGAAAAAGCTGACCTCTTGGGTTTTCAGAATTACGCCTACTTGTCCCTTGATTCTAAAATGGCTGATAGCCCTTCAGAAGTTTGGAAAATGATCAAAGACTTGCAGAGTAAAAGTAAGACTGGAGCGAAATCAGAACTACAAGCTCTGCAGGTAACAAATGCAATAAAAATCATTATCCTATTAGCTGTGATAGGGTAACAAAGAAATAATGACTGCGATTATGATGATGATGATGATGATGATGATGATGATGATGATAATTTTGATGGCGGTGACAATGGCGATGACAATGGCGATAACAGTGGTCAATGGTCATGATGATGACGACGACTATTACAACAATAGGGAGCTTAAGCAACAACGACGACGACCACAACGACGACTTCCAAAAAACAATAGGTTTAGTGATCAAAACAACACCTCTGCACGTGCGTCACGCTTTTTAGTACATTTCTTTGACGTCCACTGCACGACTACGACGTGAATCTTTCTAATCTGACGTTTTATGGAGGACGTGGACATACGACGACGAATTTTCCTTCCTCTTTTTGAACGTCAATAAAATCTTTAAGAATTCAACTCCAGGTAACGTCGCCTGCATTTGACATATTGAGCGGGTCCAAATAGACGCGATTAAGTTCGAAGGAACGCAAATTCATTTTGTAAGCGACGTTTTCACTGCCGTCGTCGTCGTTGCTTAAGGTCCCTCTGATGACGACGACGACGACGACGATGACGATGATCATGATGATTCAGATATGACCACTTTAGGCCAAACAGTTATTGAAAACAATTTAATGTAATAGAATAGGTTTGAAACACATTTTGTTACCACATTCGAGAGGAACCGAATAATTTAACCATTATAGGAAGCTGCTAGTAATAGTCTAGTCATCTCAAGCAGGCTAAAGATAATGAAAAATACACTTGGGTTCATTTCACATGAGAGGAACCCACTGCTAATGAGCAAAATTTATTGTTTTCGTCATTAGACTTAGGTTCGTCCCATGTGAAGTTCGACGTTTAATCCCGCTGGCCTTACTGGCAATTGATTAAGAGGTACACGATGGGGGATTGTATGTTGCTGTCTTGAACTGACTACGCCAGAAGTAAAAAGAAAGCAAAACTAACAAATAATAAAGGAAAACAAAACAAACCAAAACAAATCAAGTGCGAAAATGAGAGCTAGTACAAAGAGCTTATTGTTGACAAGACCAGAGCCATCTCCAGAGCTATTGCAGTTTTATTTATTTATTTTTTTAAATTTTTTTTTCTTCAAGGCTTTTGCTGAAGAAAACGGTTTTGTTGGAGAGTTAAAACACTGGGACATTCCATTCTGGTCACAAAAGCAAAGGGAACATTTGTTCAGGTTTGAGCAAGGAACGTCTTACGTTGTACTTTTTTGTTTGTCACAGAAACGTCTTACGTCAGTGTTTATTACTGTCATGTCGCGGATGCTGGTCGTCAAGTTGGTTCTTGCCCAAGCTTGGAGAGAATTTTCTCGGTTTTCCGCTCTCCTTAATTTACCATGTATTTCAAATTCCACCCCGATCTAAAATGGTAGACAAAGAATTGCTTTTCCGCGGATGTGCACTAAGGAATACCATAAATGGCCTAATAAACGCCTGAGGCGTCTACTAAATTTTAGGGGTCCAAGCGGGGGCGTTCAATAGATAGGAGGAGTTTATCTGGAAGTGGGCGTCTATCAGGTCATTTTCGGTATTTTCTTTCTCTTTTCTTTTTGTTATTGTTGTTTAGTTAAAGGTAAGGTAGAAAACAGGAAAGTTCAAAAATATTTTGCGAAAATGCCTTTGTTATTATATACATGTAATACTGTTGTGTCAGGCTTGAAACCAGCTTTTAATAACTCCATCATAAATATCCCATAGCCAAGATTTACAAAGCCTAAGCTTCCTTGGGATCTCTCTTTTGCCTCCTGATTTCTATTAGATCCTCATTCACGTTGTAATGCTTCTTTTATCAAGTTTGATGTTAGTCAACTTTCGGCCGCCATTTCATCGGTATTTCCATGTTTTTTTTTTTGTTTGTTTCATTTGATTTACTGTTTAATAATTATATTTCAGCTTTACTGATGAGGATTTAAGGCCATATTTTCCCTTACCAAGGTTTGTTTCTTTTAACTAAGTAACGATGCAAAGCAGACAGTTTTGCAATGAAATCTCCTTTAACGTATAGAGAAAATTGGTTTTGGTTTAAGAAAACCGAGCTTTCGACAACCCGTTTTGTTAATTAACATATGCAGCCAAATGCATAGGTGGAAATATTTTAACAAGCGAAACCATAAATATAAAAAAGTATTACTAAATTATTATTATTATTACTATTATGTGTTTTGTGTTTGTTGTTTTTTTTTTTGTATTTTTTAATTGCCGTATTTTTGTTTTAGAAGGTGGATGTGTATTTCGTATTTTGTATATTTTTTGCAGTTTTGTCTTCATCAACACAACGGTTCATGTCAGGACTAGATTATTTTTCTTATGCGAAGTTTCTCGTAATGAATTATTTCTCGATTAACTTAGAATGCAATCAGAACAAATCTGGTCGAATTCCCGTTGTTCCGTCCTCTTATAATTAGTGCATTCAGTGCGGACCTTTCAATTTTAAGACATCTTGTAACTGGCTGGCTTTTTTTTATCCGTCCCTCGTAGGGTTTTAGATGGACTTTTCAAACTTTCATCCGAGCTGTTTGGAATTACCATCAAGGTGGGTCTTTTACGCCGTCATCGTTGTGGTATCTTAGACTATGTTCGTACTACATTATACAAGATCTATCTGGAATTAAAGGGACTATGTCAGCTGTAGAGCATGCGCGCTGAGGTTATGCAAATTACTTTGAACTGTCGAAATTCTACTGTCTTAAACGCGTGACTTTCTCTGTCACGTCCAAGATTCCGAAATTTACAGAGACGTTTACCAGCGAATTGGGTTTGGATAAGGGATATTTTGATAGAATTTACGGAACGTTTCTTCTCTGGTTATGCTAGATCAACTTCCCTCAATTTCTTCGTCAGAATAAAAGCGTTAAGACAATTTTACTTGTAGTTTTGAAGTAAAAACGCATGCCATTTGTAAAAATAGAGCGCAAACAAAAAAATCAACAACAACATTGTAGTAGTCAACAAAATAAATCAAAGTTGTATTTTATAAATGACCTACAAAAGACTCTAGACCGAAGATAAAGACCAAGAATGTTTTAAGTCTTGGTAACCGAGCGTTCTCTTCGAATCCTAGGCCGCGGGCGCTAAGCGCGCGGTGTCAGCCCTAAAGAGTAATTGGGTGGTAAACTCTTGGATGGTTGCTAGGAGATTTGGGCTATTGGCCAATCGTAGAGCCGAATAGTTGAATTGTCGATAGGATTTAGTTAAAAGCAGTTTTAAAAATGGCATCTCCATAACATGGTGCCTCAGGCCCGTGTCAAACGTCAAATTTCACATGGGACGGGGCTAATCCTAACGGGATTTTGCTCATTAGTGTTAGGTTTCTCTCATGTGAAGTTCGACGGTAGACATGGCCTTAAGTTTTGTTATTACATGGCTACAATAGTACGCGCCCTCTGATTGGCTACTGAGCGGGCAAGACTTTCTTGTAATGACCGGGTGTTATTAGCTAGGTTAGCTAGGTGTCCAAGGCATATACCATCTGTGTTTAACTTGATAGCGGGCATCCATGTTATGGTCAATTGACAGCTGTCAGAAAAGGGTATCCGCTGATCGGTGTCACATGACTGTATTGCGACCTCAAATGTACAACTCATTGAGGTGACGTGTTTTTTTAAGTTATCCGCTGACTAGTTAGGGGTTTTATTTGATCGCAGGCCCCAGTTACTTCCAGTGTTTTATATTAATAGCGGTAAATAGGCCATATAATAAATAACCTATTAACCTTGTCCATTCGGTCATTACAGTGAAATCTCAGACCAAGACCTAGATCTATAGACCTCACTATCGCTCGGTCAATACATCAAGAGGCCTTGGTCGGAGATTTTCCTGATGACCTCACTCTCGGTTAATAAGTCGTATTTCATGGAAACAACATGACCACTACAACAATTCTAACGTAATTCTTATGTAGCCAGCGGATGGAGACACAGAAGTTTGGCATTCAGATGTAAGGTTTTTTAACATCATTGATGATAAAGGTGAGTGACAGTCATTAACGGTATTAAATTCTTTACATGACTGTAAATCGTAAGATGATTTCTGGGGTAACAGATTGTTCAAACATTGAACAGCGGACCGAGAAGCAAAGTAGTTAGCCCAAATGTCAATTTCCAGAGAACACAGTTTTTTATTTTCTCTTCCGCAGAATCTCCCGCCGGGTATTATAGAAATAAGCAATAAATGGAAAATAGTAAGCGCACAGTGGAGGCGTGAGCGTCTATTCCCGTCTTTTACCTCCTTATCATCCACCACGCACTTTCTTTTTTCCCTCTCCCCAGCCTCTCATGGACACCAAGAGGCCTCTGCCGGAGGAAGAAAGAGGTGCCAATGACCTTTGTCTTTTAGGTACTGATTGTGGACACTGTTTTACGTCTCCTACTTGGAGACGAGACTGCCATTTCTGCGTATTCATCCGAACCACGTGAAGGACTAGCCGTTTGCAGGGGGAAAGGCAGTTCCTTGTTCTTCATTTATTTTTATTATTTTTTTTAAGAACCTGAGTATTGGTTCAGCCCCGGACTGGAACCCGAGACCTTTCGCTCCGCAAAATAGCGCGTTATCTCATCATCGCCGTCTTACATTCACAAATTGGTCTCCTAACTGTAATTCATTTTTGAAAATAGGTATTATTTATGATTAAAGATTAGATTTTGTCATTTATCTTATTCTATTTTATTTCATGTTCTCTCTCTTATTGTTTTTGTCAAGGAAGTCACATAGCCTCGTTTTTCTTGGATCCATATTCTCGGCCATCAGAGAAACGCGGGGGAGCCTGGATGGATCAGTGCATTGGTAATGAAACATAACTTCTGATGCTTTTCTGATGCTCTAACTGTTTGGGCTGGTTGCTAAAACGTAAGAGTCTTTTCATTATGCCAGGCTGACCGGTCATTGACCACTTTATCTCAGTACCCAGAGTAAAAGAGAACGAAATTCTTCGATCAACTGGAAAGGAAATTTCTGCACTGGTTGAAGCTTTTTATTTTCATCGGTTCTCGGTGTAGTGGGACCAGAAACGATAATTCTTTAACTTGGAACGTTAAGTTTCGTTTTCGACCTTCAATGAAAGTGGACTTCTTTTTCCGGAAAATGTTTACCAGGACCGAAACGTTCTGGTAAAATGGTGCGACCCAAATTTTCGGCAATTTGGCACCCAAAGTCTAACTTGAACCGCGTCTTAAACAGTTCGAGAGTATGCCAGTTTTGGAAGAAGCGATGACGTCATGATTCCATTGTTCTGCTAAAAACACGCAAAAATAGGAAAAAATAATCGCAAGAAACAAGGGAGCTTTTTTCAAAGCCTGTTTCACTTCTCCTCGTTCAATATCCGGGACTTCCGAGCTAGCAGTACCGGTGAAGAAGCCTTCTCCTTGCTTTTTGAATGTCAAGGGAACTTTCCTGCCACATTTCGGTAGTTAAAAGCGACAGTTTTCAAATGGCCTTCGACGCCGCCGCCGCCATCTTGACGGGTATCGAATGTAAGTACATGACTTTATGTTTAGTTTTCAGTATCTTGCCGAATTTTTACGAAGTCAAGACTAATTTTCCTCAAAACTACAACGTTTAAAGTGTGTTCAGGCAAAGTTTCATCGATGGCAACAACCTAGTAAAAATGGCAACCACACATTGAAAATTGCCAACGGACAGGAAGGGTTACTGATATTGATGGTTATGCCTTAGCCTGTATATGTAGTTTCAGTTATAATCGATCAGGTCTGTTTTTGGTCGTGTTCACCGGCAATTTATGCGACTCTCATCTAGAAATCACTTTATTGATCCAGATCATGTGTGTGGAATTAGTTTTAAATCAGTGTGAGTAGGTTCTTACATTGATTTCTTTTATTTTGATCAGGATTTCCGTCAAAAATGTAGACAAACATGTGGAGATATTACAAACATGTTGTCGCGTTTGTGCCAAAAAGCTGGGAAAAGCAACCAGGAAGACAAAATGCTAAATATCTTCAGAACGACATATTTGTGCTCTGAGGGCAAAATATTGCTTTAGGTTCGCCTTATGTTCCACTGTAATGAAAAATTTAATGTCCAAATTCAACCCTACCTCAATAGAATTAACCATGTTTTTTTGTTTCTTTGTAGTGTGGTCACAGGCTTACCCACCACAAAAGCCCCTCCTTTGACCCTTTCAAAAATGGGTAAGAGGGAAACAGGTTGGAGGGGGGGCTTATATACCTTGTGAGTGGAAGCTCATACTCAATGACTATTCAACCATAGAAGAGACTGTGGCCCTTATTCAAGGGGCTTTAAAGGAGATAGATGAGGAAGGAGTCATGGAAGTGGAGGCTTGTGAAGATTTTCTCTACATAATGTTCAATCCCTCACGTCAAATATTGTTTATACTTTACAGATGCCAAATACATAATATGTTCAGTCCCTGTGCTGCGCAAAAGGTCAATCAGAAACATGAAAAATGCCACACTCTCCCCCATCAATCCCTGTACATGAGCAATAAGCCCACATTTGATGTCATAATATCGAATATGTGTGTATTTGAATAAATCCTAAATTATTGAGATTCTCTTGATGAAAAAGCATCTATGTTAATGCATCGTCTTCTACAAATCATCCTCCCTAATAAATAATACATGAGAGACATCTCACAAGATAACTATTGAAAATCGATGTCAGCTGCTACTGTCTTCATTATATCAATTAAGTTTTGGATTTTGGTTTTCATGTCCAAGAAGGTGTTAAAAAAACAAGATTTTGAGATAAAAGAGTGTGTATAATATGCGAGCCAGGTAGCCATGGCAGCGAGTCATGCAGGTCAGAATCAAAAACAGTAATACGGAAAGAATTAACTGTCAGGACCTAAAATAAAATGTTTATTTACAAAAAACAAAATATAACAATAAATAGCTTTTATTGTATCTTTACTCTGATGTCTGAGCTTTGTTTTCTTGAAAGTGCTGTTCAATAGAAACATGAAGAACCGGCTATGAAAAAGAACTTTGGAAAACTTATGTCGTGTCCATGCCAAGGGCAGTAATCATTTATTATTTTGGGCCAAACCTTGTCTAATAGAATTGTTTGAGGGTCCCCACAGAGAAGACTTGGAGAAAAGTGCTCCTCAAAGTTACAATGTCTTTGGTTTAAAGGCAACCCCAGAGTTAAAAACAATAATTTAGTATTATTCGGATGTAACATCAAATCCCATACAAGAGGATATTTTATAACAAATCATAACCTTGTTGATCTCTGACCTCTGGTCAAATCCGGTGGACTACCAAGACTATAGTATCCCATTTTAATCAATAGATCCAAAAGCATGTAAGAAGCATAATTCTTAGTTTTCCAATATGTATATTAAATTCTTAAGAGCCTCTTGCATTTGTTAAGCTTGACCAAATAATCAGTTAACTTCAGAAAGTGGAATAATTGAAAGCAACAGGTTTTTTTGAAGCGAGACAAAAAAAAAATGATCTGGGATGATAAGTAAGATTTTCACTTTGTGGGTTTTCAAGAAGAAAACGCGGGCACAATACCCTCAGAAATCCCTTGTAAACCTGTTGTATACCTGGACGGAACTGCTTCAAGACATAAACCAACAGAACATCATATTCGAAAAAACAGATATTTTACTCACAAATGACTCGCTTGCACCAAAACAATAACCTGAATTACAGCCGTCTTCTCCGGCCAGTCGCTCACTCGCGGGAGAGAAACAGATGCAACGGGAAAAATTACAATGAATTATAGAACAACTCACTTTTTAGTTGTTTCCAAAGCATTCTTTTTTCCTTATGATATAAAAAAAATGATGAAATAAATAGGCACAAACTTGTTAGCGTGCTTACCTATTTTCGATGTACTGATTACATACGCAGTGAGTACGCAGTGCCTACTAAGCGCGCGATAAGCGAAGAACTATAGCGCAAGAATGGTTACTCCCTGTCTTCAAGGTACTTCCCAATTCATAGTAACAAAAAGACAAATAAAAGGCTCGATAAAACAAGAATAAACGAGAATTTTGGTCAATACTCGTTCTTCTCCTCTCCCTTGTCCGCCATTTTGTATGTTTTGAAAATGGCCATCGCCATGGTGATCATGTTATGGTTGGTGACGTAGACCATTGTTTTCGCTTCTTCCAAAACTGGCATACTCCCGAACTGTTAAAGCGTTCCCTAGACTTTCAAACCTGGCAAAAAGCGACTTATTTTAAACAACCGTTCTTCTAGTCTGTGCTACATGTACATGTGTCATTGGCATTCTCTTTTTCATCGAGCGACGTTAGTAGTATAGTAAATGCTGCCATCTGCCTCACTCCAAATTATTTCTGCCTCATCTCGCAATGTCGCTCTAATTGTTCACTCATTTCGCAAAACTCATTCGTTTCGTTCAATTCGTTCAATTCACTCGCTAACGCTCGTTCATTTTCACTCATTTTCACTCAACTCATTCGTTTGCTCCATTCGATTCACAATTAATCGCTCTCATTGCTCGAAGAGTCAGAAATAATTTGGAGTGAGGCAGCTGTCAGCATTTACTATACTACACTTAAATAAAAAAAAAAAGAATAAAAGATTGAATCAGAAAATAAAAATTGATTTAAAGAAATAAAATAATAAAAATAAGAAATGGGTTTTAAATCAAAAAGTAATCAAATAAATAATTTTAAAATTCGAGGATTAATATTTGATTCTGAAGAAGATTATCTGTTGTTTAAGAATATAGATAAAAATATTTATCACACAATTAAATCAGTTAATGATGGAATAATTGATATAACAGAAGTATTTAACAATATTAACAAAATCAATGTAAGAGAAAGTTATTATGAAGCAAGAGAAGAACTTGATGGTTTGTTTGAAAATGCAACAGAATTATTATGTTATGAAGATACAAGATTTCAGAATGATTTCAAAGTTGGTTGTTGTTTTTTTGATAAAATTAATGTAATAAAATATTGTGAATAAATGCTATGATTATTTATTTTATTGTGAATAAATAATCTAATTAATTAATTAATAAAATGTATTGTTATTGTAGAGATGAATTTGATTGGTTGATGAAAATGTTAGAAAAAGGTAATTGTTTTATGGATTATGAAGATCTAAATGATTTTATTGATAATGGATTATTAAAATTACGTTATATGAAAAAAAGATTTGGTTATTTATTTTATGATGAATGTAAATATATAAAAAAAGTTGATGGTCGTAATTGTATTTTTGTTAATAAAGAACATCAATTTGTTTGTCGTAAACCTGAAGAACCAACTTACCATGGAGGTTATGAAAATGAATCTTATACTACCATACCTATGGAGGATACAGAGCGTTATGATATTAAGTTTTTAGATGAAATAGATAGAGGAGATCCTTTTATTACAGAAGATGATAAATATCAAGATGAATGTGTAAAAGATACTAAAAATATTCTTCAAAAAATAATGTTGGTTAAACCTGAAATATATAACAGTTCTGACTTTTATGAAGTGCTTTATTCAAATTATTTTGATAATATTGAACTTGAAAAAGATGTTAGATATTTTTATAATCAGGTAAAGAAATATGTATTAGATATAGATATTAAAGATATTATAGATTTTGATGACCAATATGTTATTGTAGAAGAAGGATTAAAAAAAGTAATAAAAATGATTTAAAAAATTTCTATTATTAACTAAAATATGACAGATAGTCTATTACCATTATATATTCAAGAAGGAGTTATAAAAAATCGTCGTAATCATTTATACATTGAAGAAGGAGATACACAAAGAATAAATAAAAGAAAAATTAGTGGTTATCTTAGAAATTTAGAAGAAAGAGGGGATTATTTTAAAATTAAACATATAAAAAAGTTGTATCAAATTTATACTATTTTTAATCAAATGAAAAGTTTAATATTTGATGATGATACTTTTGATTTTAATCTTAAAATTTCATCTATAAAAGATTTTAGTTATTTTTTGTTATTTATTATTGATAGAACAAGAGTTGATATTATTAAATTTATTGATATATTACAAGATGATAATTTTAATAATAATAAATTAATACGAAAAAATTTAGATAAATATAATAATAGAATATTTTGTCTTTATTTAGATGCATTAATTTATTGTCAAAGTTATATAACTAACTAATAAAATGGATCCAATCGAAACTACTTCTCCAGAGGATACAGATGTTAAAACTGATGATGTAACTCCAGAAAAATATGTTCTTACAGGATCGGAGTTTAAAAAATTAATCAAAAATGCTAAAAATCTTGGTGCTGAATCACTTGATTATTCATCTCGTAAAAATAACAAATACATGGTTAAACTTCCAGGTGGAAAGAAAGTACATTTTGGATCATCTAAATATGAAGATTATACTGTTCATAAAGATAAAGAGCGAAGAGATAAATACCTTTCTAGAGCTACAAAGATTAAAAATAAAAAGGGAGAATTAACTTATACTAAACCAGAATCTTCAAACTTTTGGTCAGTAAATTTACTTTGGCCTAAAAAATAAAATTAATATATGATTTAAAGATTAACTAAATATTAATAAAATGCAGTTGTCAAGTTACGAAAATATTACCCAAGAGAATATTATCTTTAATGAAGCCAAAGAGTACAAAGTAAAAGATAGCAAGATTAAATACAAACGTATTCCAATTGAAGTAAAATATCCAAATAACAAAAAAGGACCACTTGTAGTTGAAACTCCATTTCTTTTTAGTTTTGGTGTCAGCGAAAAGAAAAATCAAGAAACAGGTAAATTGGTTGGTTATAGTATTCCAGTATGTCTTTGGTCTAAAGATAGTGAACCTGACAATAAAGAAAAAGCATTTTTTAATTTTATTAATATTTTAAAAACTTTATCTCAGCAACATTTAGAGAATGAATACGGGCCAGATCAAGCCTCATCTTTATCTTCACCATTTTACTATAAACAAATAGAATATACAGACAAAAAAGGAAAAAAGAGAACAAAAGTTGATGAATCATCATCACCAATTCTTTATACAAAACTTATTTACTCAGAAAAAACAAAAAAAATTTTATCTTTGTTCAAGGGAAAGAAAGGTCGTGATTTAAATCCTTTTAAATATATTAACCAATACTGCCGTGTTAAATTAGCATTGATAATTGAAGGAATTTTTATAAGTAAGACTGTTACATCTTTACAAATAAAAGTACATGAGTGTTATGTTAAAGATTTAGAACCAAGAAAAAGTTTACTTAAAATTGATGAAAAAAGTAGTGATAGTGATACTGAAGAGACAATTGATCAATTAGTTGAAGATTTAATTTTATCTGATAAAGAAGAAAATGAGTAAAATAACTATTTTTTTAATACAAAATTTGTATTAAAAATCAACCAAATCCTTATTACTTACCCATGAGTTAAATTTATCTGGATATCCACTCCATTTTACTAATGCCATTTTTTTCTTATTATTTCGTCTAATAATCTTTTCTATTCTAAATGTTTGTTGTTTTGCTTTTTGTAATTCTTGCTCGTAAAAAGAACCCTTAATCTCTTCTCCCATCATATCAACAATATTATATGTAACAGGTTTTGTTGGAAGAATTTTATCAATTACAAATATTTCTTCTGTCCAGTTTGGTGTGTAACCTTTATCAAATACTTGCCTCTTATATTTTGAGATTCTAACACGATCACCAATTGAAAACTTTGGTTTGCTAGGTTTTAAGTATATTAGATCGTCATACAAATTATACCAAACTTTACTTTCATTTTTCTTTTTACTTGCTTCAACAGGGGTGAGTTTTATACTAGAATGTTTTGTATTATTGTAATCATCAACTAGTTTATCTATCTTGTCCCAGTAAACATTGTTGTTATTTACAGTAAACATTTTCCACATTCTGTTTTTCATTGTTTTATTCCATCTCTCAACAATACTAGATTTTTCTTCATTTTCAGTGTGATACAACCTAATACCTTTACTTTTAAGAAAATCTTTAAAATGTTTGCTTATAAATTCAGAACCTTTATCAGTCCATAACATTTGAGGTTTACGTTTACTTTTGAATATGTCATCGAATGCTTTACTTACAGTTTCAGTTTTCTTGTCTTTCAATCCTCTAATCCATCCATATTTGCTAAACACATCAATAACCATAAGCAGATATTTAATTCCTTTATTCCACTTACTAAACTTTTGCATTTCAACTAAATCAGCAGCCCAGATATCATCAATTCCGTTTGAGACTACTGATCTCTTTTTAAAGTTTCGTGTGATTGGTTTGTGAAGTTCGTTGGCTAATTGTTGAGACCAATCACTACTCAACGCCGATGCGTGTTTAAACCAAGCCCAAGTTTTTGTTTTGTATTAATCAAGAATCGTGCTGTTGACCCCCACTTTGGCATTTCACCATATGGAATATTATCTAATGATTTTACCATTTCTTTATCACAATCACCTTTGTTTTTTCCCATGTCATAACAAATGTCGTGATAAGCTGCTATCTCATCAACTTTGTTATACGGTCTAACTTTCCACTCTGTTACCTTTCCAGTTTCAGGATCATAGCTTAATTGTTTATCAAGAGGATTGTACGGCCCCATATATTTGTATGAACCTGGAGTCCATCCTGCTTTTGGTTTTGGAAGTTTTCCAATTAATTTGTGTACATCAAATCGTTTTCCCGATCTTCCATCTAAATCCTTTCGATCGGTTTTATATTTAATTTTAGGTCTAACTTTTGTTGACAGTTGATCCATTGCTGTTCCAACAGAATCTTGAATAAATGGAGTAAGTTTATTAATCCCATAATTTACAGCTTTTTTTTGTAGTTTTTTATTTCTAAGTGCTTCACTTGCTCCATATTTACCCATTTCAACAGCTTTCTTACCCATCCAAGGTAAACCGTAATGAACAAATCCATCAACTGCTGTACCAACAACAGTATCAAATACGCCCGCCCCTTCAGACGGGCCAATTAGTTTTTTGACTTTCGTTTTCTCTTTTTTCCACTTCCAGTTTGCAGGGGGGTATTTCCCATTTTTACATATCTAACTTTTTTATTTCCACAAACTGCACATCTACAAAAGAATTGAGTTCTACCTCTTTTATCTTTTTGGTAACCACTTGGTTCTGTACAAGGAGTTACTCTTTTATCTACAATGCAATAAGTTTCTTTCATTTAATATATTGTTTAGATAAAATATGTCTATTAGATCTAATTTTTTAAAAAGTGAACTTCAAAAGATATACGATAACTTAAACATGAGTTATGAATACTCTGATTTTTCTAGATTGGAAAATGATACTAAATTTATAAAAATATTTGAGTTGCTTATGGAAATAAGTGAGAAATCAAATAATCTTAAAAATATTGTAAAAAGTAATTATCTGTTCTTAAGATAAAATGGAGACTAAATTCTTTTCTGAGATTGAAAAAAATATGGATGTTAAAACAATCAAGGATTTTGAAAAAGAAGTGCGAACAAAAATATATAATGAGTTGGAGTTACTTAGAAAGAAAAACGATGATCTTTCTAGAGTACTAATTGCTAGTGAATCTGAGATGTGGAATAAAATTAGAAATGAGCAATATTCTTGGTTAAAGTTAAATAATGACAAAAAGAAGAAACTTTATAGACTTATTGATATTTACTCAAATTTTATTGACATAGTTGATAGTGTTAAAATTTTAAACACAAAAGTTGAAAAGGTTAAACAGTTAAAGGATACACCAGTTAATAGTGAATAAAAATATAATATTTATTAAATATTATATTTATCCTCCAAAGTATGCTTTTATAAAATCACTATTGTCATCATCAAAATGTGGATTATGTATTACATCTAGAATACTATTACCTTTTTGTCTTTCAAACAGATAGTATAAACACCAATAACCGCATAGAACAGTATTTCGATTTTGTATTTCATCCATTGAGTACACTATACGTTTTCCAGAAGTATTAAAATACTCTAATGCTTCATTTGGCATTATTAATCCAAATGGATCGAAATATTCAACTATATTGTCTATACTTCTATAACAAACCCAGTGTGTTCCAGGTCCACTCATATCATCTAGATTAATTATTCCACATTCTTTTTTAATCTTTTTTGGTAGTCCATCACGACTATATATTCCTCTAAAATATTTAATACCAAGTTTTTTTATCCATTCCATGAGGTCAAAATTGGAAAGAGGTTTAATTACAAAATGCTTCCTAGAATGGGAATTGAGTTGAATGGGCTGTTTTTTCCTAGTAGTAGTCCTGAACCCTTGGATTTGGACTTTTTTTTTTTAACTCCCATTCCTATTGGGTTTTCCCAAGTACCAAAAAAGGGAGGAGATTGATAAGGATAACCCTCACCATATGTGGATTGAGGAGGAGGATGTGGAACGTAAACATTTGCTGTATTAGATGTCCCACTTCTATCAACCTGTAGCCCCCCTCCAAACATCTTAGATACTAAACTGATTGCCATTGGAATTCCAATAGATGCAAGAGTACCTAAAAATCCTCCTTCTATTTGTTTACGAGTTGGTTTAATAACTACTCGTCCACCAGATTGAAACATTTTATTTATTAGATCAATTTGTGATTTTGTCAATTCTCCTCTAATAGCGGGTAGCATTGGAAAAAACTTTTTTGGAATTGTGATTCCTTTACCAAATATTTTATTTAATCCTATTTCTCCAAGTGCAGTTGCAGCACCAGTTGCTAATGCAGGAGCAACTTTTGAAATTCCTTTTACTGCATAAGGTAATACTTTTGCTCCAATAGAAGCAAGTGAAGTAAATAAATTTCCTCCATGTTTTACAGAACGTCTAATTTGAGTTTTACTTATTTTTATATCCGATCCTGTGCCATTTGCAATAGACCTTTTTATTTTAGAAATTTGTCTGCTGGTTAACATTAACTCATCAGAGCCTCTAAGTTGTCCATGTTTTAAACGAAGAGTTAGTGGTGATTTATTTCTGATTGCAGAAGCCAGTTTTGACTTTTGTCCATCTGTAAGTTTTACTCCGTATTCAATATAAATTGTCATTTTTTATTTGATGTTTATATTAAATTTTTGTTTTGGTTTTATTTCAGTTGGTGGTTTGATTTTTTAAACCAATAAAATGATTACACATAATTCTGTGTAATCATAACAACTTGTGGAAAATTCTGTGTAATCATAACAACTTGTGGAAAATTCTGTGTAATCATATGCGGTGTAGATAAGGGAGGGTTTAAGATCGAAGCAATAGTTTTCCATCTTGTTGTGATATTTCTGCTACTCTTTCATGTAAGACTAATGCGTAAATATTATAATCTGCGTTTGGATTAGCAGATAATTCGTAATGAAATGCTAGTTTTGTAACACCGTCTTTGATATCCATTTTTTGTTTTGTTAGGTCAAAATAAACAAAAGGAAATAAAGATTTAAAATTACTTATATTAAGTAATGTTCCACCTTGATAATCATTATTTGCATAGACGTATGACATTACATTTCTAAAAACTCTTGACATATCTGTAGAAGGTTTAAAGTGAATATCTGGATATTCGTTTCCATTTGCAACTTCCAGGTAACATCTTAATATATTAGCATTATTTGGTAAATCAAAGGTATCGTATACAAATGGATTTGCAGTTTGTGCATCAATTCTTGCTGTATCAATTCCAAAAACAAATACATGCCTTGGCTTTGAAATAGCATTTGTAATTCTAAAATGTCCTGTCTGTTGTTGTGAATTATTTGACCTTTCAACTACTTCATTTAAATATACCCATTTGTAAGGTTTAAGATAATTTTCCATATACAGCTTTTGTCCTTCTGAATTAAACGTAAGTTTTGGAATAAAAAGTTGTAGTCTTGTTATAATAACTCTACAATCATCAGCAGCTTTAAAAATTAAATTTGCATCTTTTTCAATCTCAATATTTAACTCAATTTTTGTATTTGGAAGTAATTTGTCTTCCAATGCTTCAAAGAAAGAATATCTATTAAGAGGAATTTCACAGTTTACTGTGGCTGATGCACCTAATAGTAATTTCCTTTGATGAAAACCTTTATTATAAGTTGCTTGAGCAGGTCTTTCCTCTGCAGCTCTTGAAGTATCAAGAAAATAAAATTCGTTTGTAGCAACACTCTGTGCATATGAAGGATTATACTCAAGTAAATTTTTAATATTTACAACATGATTTGCATAGTTACAACTATAAACTTCTCGACCATTTGCTAGGATACTTAATTTTTCTATAAATGAATTGCTACCATTTACAATTCCGTTATGGTCAGCAACCGCAATATTTCCTCCATCTGCTAGTTTATTTACTTTAAAATCCATTGATAGTCTGGCGTTATACCAATCAAAAGTAGTAGTTTCTCCTGTATTATCAGCTACAAATCTAAGACCTGTTTTAGTTTGGTGAGCGTTATTTGCTGGAGCAGTATCTAGAGACTGTTCCAAGTCAAATACAACATCTTCATATCTATCTAAATATTTTGGATTTCTAAATGACTTCATTTTTATTTTAATAATTATATAATTTTTCTCTTACGTGTTGATCCACCACTAAGAAGGTTATTCAACATTTGATCTATCTCTTGTTGATTTATTGTTTCGACATTTTTATTAAAATTAACTTTTTTAGAAGGGGGTTTTCGGGAGGAAGTGTTTTTTGATAACATTTGCACTATTTTATCACCAGCCTTCTTACCAGCATGTTCACCAGTTTTTGTTGCAGCTGTTGTTAGTGTTTTTTCAACACCTTTTTTAGCAGCTGATTTAACTGTCTTTCCAAATAATTTAGAACCAATAGATTTAAACACATCTGTTATTCCTTCTCCATATATGTGTTGTTTAGTAAATCGCCCCATTTCAGGGTCAAGTTTTTTTTTAAACTCTGATTGTCTACTCATTTTTATCTAATGAATATATATTTAGTTGAGGGAGGGGTTTACATTGAATGGAGTATTAAAGTCATAAACCAATCTATATCATTAAAATTTACTGGTCTTCCAACTGAGTCTGTCACATAAATCCTCATTTCATCAATGTTAAATGAAGATACAGGACAATACAATGGTCTTTTAGGTTCAAAAGTAAATGGAAAAGACCTTGTAAGATTATCAGTTGGTATCACAGCAATAGTATTTGTATTTATTCCATTTACAATGCTATCAGTTATTGCGGTTGTGTTGATATTTAATACATCAATCGAATTTGTTATATTTGGTAGTTTTGTTCCATACTCTGTTTTTGTAATAAGTTTCTTTTCAAATCCAATCAGGTCTCCAAATTCTGTTCCTCTTAGATCTAATTGATAATCACCATCAAGTGATACTAACACTCGATAAGTAGATAGTATAAAAGTTAGATTGATTGAATAAGTTTTTTTTCCACTTGAATCTGTTGAGTGATGAGACTTTTTCTCCATATACTGATGAATGTAATCATTAATATCTGAGTAGGAATACATTCCATCTGTAAAAGTAATTGTTTGCCAAGTCCTTCCATCATGAGTGTATTTTATTTTATTGTTTCCATAATCACTTCTAATGTTGTACCAAGAATAAGTCATGGACAGCCGATCAAGAGCAAGTTTATGTTTCTTTTCAGGGTCAAGTTTCAAAGATGGATTAAACTTAATAGTAAAATCACCAGGTTTACTTGTTCCTCTTTTTTCCCTATTTATTGAGGAAATGTGAATAGCTCGTTCTTCCATTTTATCTAATAACTATATTATTTGAGAGGGAGGGGTGTTATTATATATAAGTTTTTAGTAGTTCGTTAAGTTGTTTTTTTGTAATTACTTTCATTTGGTTAAGAAGATGTGCTATTTCAGAAAACTCTTGCACTACACCATTATTCCCAGCAAGAATTGATCCACTGAGTAATTCAAGTCTGTCTATAAGTTGATGTGGGTTGTTAAAGTAATTTATTCCAGAGCCTGTCATTTTTAATTTTACTTCTTTAAGACGTGTTAAATTGGTATAATATGTGGATAATGTGTTGTATTCATCTATAGTTTTTTTTGTTTCTTCTCTTGGATTTTGACTTATTGATGTTGCTAATTGATAACCACTATTATTGTTATATAATCTGATACTTGTTTTCTTTTTGTTATATATATCTTTTAAATCTTCTGAAACATTATTAATTGTTGAAATAATATCAATTATACCTTCATTTAAAAATGTAGAAGGTAAATTATCATAACCATAATTTAAAAGTATAGTTTGGCTTTTTTCATTCATTAAATATTGATCGTAATAATCAGGATTTATATTTATTATTTTTTTTGCTTCATCTTGTCCTTTATCTTGTTCTTTATCTTGTTCTTCAGCTTTTCCTTCATCTTGTTCTTCAGCTTTTCCTTCATCTTGTTCTTCTGCTTGTCCTTCAGCTTGTCCTTCAATTGGTTGATATATTAAATTTTCTAATCCTTGAGTTATAGCTAATCTGTTTTGATTTAAACCTTGTGTAAGAGCAAGTTGATTAGCTTGGAGTTGTGCTATAGTTGCGTTTTGCTGCTCATCAATACTTTTTTTAATAGAATCTTGAGATTTAATAAGTGGTTTAAATGTCTCTTTAAAACCTTCCCGAGCATCTTGTTTTTGCCATTTTGTTACTTTTATTACATCTCTAACCTGTTGAGTTAAAGTGTCAGCTTCAATTTTATTTCTTGCAAGTTTTTTGTATTCTTCAATATCCATTTTATATAATAAATATATAAATGGAAATACCAAACTATGATAGTGTCGATGACCCGGATAAAAAATATAAACAGTTATTTCCTTACATGCCAGCAGATACATTTCGAATGTTAATCTGTGGAAACAGTGGAAGTGGTAAAACTAATCTGCTGTATCATATGTTAATCAAACCACTGTTGTACTATGATGAAATTTATCTTTATGCGCGTAATCTAGAACAGGATAAGTATCAAAAGTTAATTCAAAAAATGGTAGAATTGAGTAGAAAATTGGGATATGAAATACTTCATGTTAGTAATGATGAAATAACCCCGGTTACAGAAATGGATTATGAAGACAATCAAAAACTTGTGATATTTGATGATTATGTTTGCGATAAAAACCAGAGACAACTTATTGATTATTTCATCCAAGGACGGCATAAGAATTGCTCTGTAATATACCTCAGTCAATCATTTTACAAAACTCCAAAAGATATAAGATTGAATTGTTCTCACTATTGTTTGTATGAATTTCCATCATCGAGGGAAGCAAATCGTATAGCGTCCGAATTAGGAATTGATAAAGAAACATATAAAGAAGTAACAAAAAAACCCTTTACATTTCTATACGTTGATAAACCTAGAAAACGTATTGCTAAAAACTTTACTAGTAATCTATAAGGGGAACTAACACCCCTCCCTTAAAAGAAAATATAAACATTAGATAAAATGGGAATATTTAACGAACAATCTTTCGATCATCCTTTTGCTAAAGGAATACAGGGTGCGCCAGGAGTTGGTTTTAGTTTAACCGCAGATGGAAATTACGATCTTAATAAAAAAAGACTCACAAATGTTGGCGCACCCAGTGCTAATACTGATGCTGCTACAAAGAAGTATGTTGATGATAATTCTGTTGGATTATCCACAACAACACGATTAACAGTTGATTCAAACATTGATATGAAGGATCAATTTCGTATTTTAAACCTCAAACATCCAGTTGACGCAGATGAGCCAGCCACAAAACAATACTCAGACAGCACATTTCTTGACAGAAATGGTTCACGAACAATGATTGGTAATCTAAGCATGAATAATAATAAAATAATTAAAGTTGGCACACCAACAGCTAATGATGATGTAGCAACCAAAAAGTATGTGGATGATAAAACCATCTCAACAACAAAGCTAACAATTGATTCAAACATTGATATGAAGAACCGCTACCGAATTACAAATTTAAGTACACCACTGGACGGAAAAGAACCTCCTACAAAAGATTACGTAGACAACACATTTCTTGACAGAGATGGTTCCTACCCAATGAAAGGTAATCTGAATATGGATAATAATCGAATATTTAATCTACCAGCTCCAACGGGCCCCAGACAACCAACACCTTTAGCTTTGACAGATTTTAAGTATCTCCACGTTGCTGGAACAAATAAAATGTTAAACTTACTGAATATGGACAATAAAAAAATAATTAACCTTAGGACACCAACATCAGACACAGATGCTGCAAACAAAAAGTATGTGGATGATAATTCTGGAAGTCCAGATTTAAGCGATTATTTGGAAAAAGATGGTACTGTTGCTATGACTGGGAACCTTAATGTTGGTAGTAATAAAATAATAAATCTTGGTAATCCAACCCAAAACAATGATGCGGTAAATAAAGATTATGCTGATCATCTAATTCATCACACTGCAGTTCAACCAAGTCATTACGCCGACCAATTTGGTTATCTTATGTCAAGTGCGGCTCAATGGACGGATGAAACAAATGGAGGAAATAGTTTTCTTATAGATAAAATTGGTATACTTACTCCTAAAAATGGAAATTTTCACGATTATAATCACAAAGTTATTTATTATAAAATAAATAAAAATTCACAAGGAGGTTATAATTATAAAATGGGAATGAACTTTTATCGTCTTCATGCTAATACTGATTATACACTTTGCTTAGAATTACTTAACACTGAATATCTACTATGGCATAAGTCTCAAATATCTGTTGATAAAGGAAATTCATCCGGTCTAACACTTGGTAATGTAAGTATAAAAAAACTATCTCATAGGTATACTGCTTCTGGAAATCAAACAAAATTTATGTATTATTACAAACTTATAATTAATTTTAGAAAGTTATCAACTGGTAATAGATTCTTTCTTCATGTTACTGTTAACATCCCCCAATCAGGAATTGATCTTAATGTTTATCCAAATCAGTTTAAAGGATGTTACATGATAGCTTATGGAATTGTGGGTACATTTAACAATATCGATCCAGATAAAGTTTATGACTATCACACCGCATTTGATATCAAACCAACAGAAGTGGTATATAACGTTGATATAAATGTGAATCAAAAAGAAATTAAAAATATCAAACTTGACCGACAAAATGATAATAGTGCTGCAACAGTTGCATTAGTAAAAGAAATAGCTCCTTATACCAAAGATGCTTTGTATAGGCTATACTTTAGTGAGGTCTATGACTTTGCTAATGCGGATAGTTATGGAATAAATATAGGTTCATCAGGAGTTATTATTAATTCTGTAAAACCTAATATTACTCTACCACCAAATAAAGATCTAGATGTCATACAAAAAGATGGATTACGTGTTAATGGTTACGATGTTACTTTTTCTCCTACACATTCTTCAAAATCTACTTTATATATTGTTTTTACTCATTGGAGAAATAGGAGTTTTACCCTAACTAAATATTTATCAACAAACAATAATATTTTAGTAAAATTAAATTATAATAAAACAAACAATAAAGTAACTTTAACCGTCAATAAAGCAACTCAAAATTTTAGCATGTTAAGTAGTTTTAATGGAAAAATAATTGTTTTATGGCTAACAGAAAATTTTGATACAAATGTAACAAAAGTTAGAATAAGTAACTATAGTGGAACATTAACTATACCAGCTGTTTACTACAATGTCAATCAACGTTGGAAGTTTACAACTGAAGATGGAATGTTATATAGATTAATGTATTCTCCAAACTTTTACAACACCGACTCTGAATACTATCATAAAGTAATGCTTCAAGAAAAGTTAAATGGAAGTTATATAGTATAAATATAAAATGAAGGATATCTTTGAATTTAATCATATAGATTCATCTTTATCAAAAGAAGAGGTAAAAACAATAAAAGATTTTTACAGTTACTACCATAAAAAATATTGGTGTTTTAAGAAGTCTTATAAAAGTTACAAATTTCTTGATAATTTTTTTACTATAAGTGGATTAGTTTTAGTTACTGTCGGAACTATTTCTGGTGGAATAACCCTTAATCCTGTTATTCTTGGAGTAATAAATGGAGCTGGAGTAATCATTGCTGCAGTAGGAAAGAAAAATAATTATAAGGAAAAAATAGAGATGACTAAGATTGCTTTTACTACTTATGAAAAAGTTCTTAATGAACTAAGATCTGCACTTAGAGGTGATGAATGGGATAAAGAAAAATTTATAGATCAAATGAAGATAATAGATGATATGATTATCGATCAAACTCCTGAAGCAGATAGATTTGTTATTAGATATAAAAAAAAGTTTAATATAAATTAAAAAAATATATAACCCACTATCTTAGTCATTAAATATTTATTTCAATACGATGAAAAACTCGATAATGACTACTTAATGTTTTTTTATTACAAAATGCTTTTGGACAAAATTCGCAAGGAATTCGTACGTCAGTCATATACTTATGAATTTTTTTACAAATTTTGTCGTAATCATTTGAAAGTATATATGCATAATTATTTTTTTTATATTTATCTTTCATTTTTAGTTGAGATTCTGATACTACATAATTATTTGTTGGTGATTTAAACTCTATACAGAGCCCTTGGTAATATTTGTGGTAATCAAGAATCATTAAATCTGGAGTTCCTCGCTGATATCCTTTCTTATACGAATCTAATCTTTTTTCCTCTGTATCTTGGTTTTCTCCCATAGTTGCAACTAAAATTGAATCAGGATAATAATTTCTTATTAAATTTACAACTTTGTAGTGAAGTTCTTTTTCATTAGAAATCATAATCATCTTATTCCAAGGGTTATCAAACATTTTGTATTGTCCGTATTTTCTAATATCTGGAAGTACTTCAGATGTTACCCAACGTTTAAACTTTTTTGCTGTTTCTAATTTAGAAGATAACAATAAGGAGTAAAAACCGCTTTCATTTATGTAAAATGTTTGTTGCAAACCCCCCGCCGTTTTGGCGGCCCCTTTAAATTTATCTTCCTCATCTACATGTTGTCTAACAGCTTTGTTTACATCACTATATCCAAGTACTTTTGCTAAATCTTTTCCAATAAAAAAAATATTTTGTTGTTTGTTAATGTATGTGTCAATCTCTAAACTTAAACTATCGTTTTTAAACTTTTTTACTAACATATTACTCATTATTAATTTATTTTTAAACTTCAATTCATTTTTTATTTAAAAATATATAATTATTTAATAAAATGATAAAAACTATTGTTAATTATGTTAACTTTTACTACCCTACAATCAAAAATATAAACTGCCTGGAAGATATAATAAAAACAGCATTAGTATATCGATTCTTATACGAACATTATGTAAAAGATTATATAACACTTGAAACAATAATATATAAACTTGATTATTATCCTATTAAAACTAATAGTTCAATAATTAGAAATCATTTAATATTTCATAGAGCATTTAAATCTTTTTACAAACATTACAAAGCTGGAAGAGGATGTGTATACTTATTTGATTCTCCAATAAAAAGTGAAGTGTTGGGTTATCTAACCGGTCTTTTATATTGGATTTTTCATAAAGGAATAAATTAATATAATCAATAAATAAAATGAGTGCTTGTATCATTCAAAAAAAAGATCTTGAAAAACTTGGAAAAAAATTAATGAAAAAATTTTATTATCATGTTTATAGCGATTATTTTTTAAAAGAATTTGAAGAAGTAAAATTAAAAAGAAAATATTACGATGAAAATCTTACTAAAGAATTCTTATCTTTTTATGAAAATCAAGAAAAAAACATTGTAAGTATTTATTTTGATAATAAAAGATATAAAGATTTAGTTGAAATGAAAACTGAAGATTTATTAAAAAAAATAGAAGCTAAAATTAAAGATGAAACTCTTAATTATGAAATAATATTTAATTTTTTAGACAAAATGGATATAAAATTAGAAATAAATAAAGGTAATGATTTTGAGATAGATGAAGATCTTTTTTGTATGAAAAAAGCATTTATTCATATGTATTTAGTATATCATTTTGATCATCATTATTTAGAAGATTAAATTTTTATATTATTACTTTAATATAAAAATTTATTTTATCAATTCTTTATAACTTTCCCACCAATTATCATAAATCTCTAAAATTTGAGGACTAATTTTAAATTCAATATTTTTATATTTTTCACACCCCATTTCCTCCAAAATTTTTTTTATTACATAATTGATATTTATCATTCTTTTTCTAAAATATTTATCATTTATTACTTTCATATTACTACTATCTAAAATTAATAGTTTATCGTAAAGTTCACATTTTTCTTCATCAGTAAGATTTATTAATTTAGAAATATTTTTAACCTTTTTATCAAAGTAATATTTTCTATGATAAATACTCTTTTTTTGATAATGTAATCTATCAAAATCTTTTAATTCAATATTTCCTAAAATATGTCCATTAAGTGCACCACATTCATTACACATATTATAACCTAAATACGATGAAAAAGATTCTGTATTTGTACATCCTTTACATTTTAATTTTAGTGTAAATTGTTTAATAGGTTTTTTATAGATAGATAATATATTTAAATATTTTTTTATTTCTTCCTCTGTATAGCTCATTTATTTATTTTTATCTTAATGCTAAAGTATGAATTTTATCTTTAAGTACTTTTCTTTTATCATCTTGACTACTTAGAGCTACTTTATTAACCTCTTTAGAATATATATCATGTTTTTCACTTTTTATAATTTTCATAGTTCTCATTTCTTTTTTATCTGTAAACAAACAATTAACATAAGCATCAAAATCTAATTCCTTTTTTATAACATTTTTCTTTATTCCTTTACACTTTTTTAATGTTTTTTCATCCTCAATTTTAAAACTATAAAGTTTTGGTCTCAACCCAACAAAATGTGTTATCTGTTTTCCAGCTACTTCATCCTTAAACATCCCTATTACTTTTTTATTAGCTCCTGTAATTATTCCAGAAGGATGATCTGATGGATAATCACTAGTATCAAATTTATTTTTTACATCATCATATATATCTTTGTAAAAATCTTTTGTTTTAATTTCATACATTAGACTGTCTGTATCTGTAAACAATAACTGAGCTTTTTTTCCATATTTATTTTTTATGTAGTTATAATGAAAATCAAACATTAAAGTTTTTGATAAATCTAGAATTGCTTGACCAACATATACTGGTTTATTAAAATACACTTCAGTTTTTTTCATATGAATTGCAATAAGATTTTTATCAAATATTGTTATTCTATCAAAATTTGGACGACTTGATAATTTGATAGCTTTCTCACGATTATCAATAAGATGTACATTTTGTCTTTTTCTTATATTTTCTATTGTTTTACCAAAAACTGAATTATTCATCAATTTAAAAAAGTCTTTTTCAAAACTGTTAGAAGCACACTTTCTAAGTTCAGTATTCTTTCTAATATATGGTTCCATCCAAGGAGATTGATAAAATGATATTCCTCTATGTACAGCAGTAATTTTCATACCCAACTCTAAACATTGTCTAAGAGCTCGATAATGTATGATATAATTTTTTCTGGTTTTAAAATGACATATTAGTTTTTCAACACCATTAACTTTCATTAACTCAGGTGCTAAAGGATAGTCATTATGTTCATCCCATAAGTGTGTAGGATATTCCAAATCAACTTCAAATATATAACCTTTTTTACCAGTATTTAACATGGAGCAATTTATTTTATCTAAAATTTCATCCACCTTTTCCAATGTTAAATCTTTCATCCATTTAAATCCATGAGTTGGAAGATTTTGACTCATAGCCCATCCATAAAGATTGTTTGCATCCAAATATTGAATAAATTTTGATTTCTTTTCAGGATCGTAACTTTTCATATATTTATTATTTGCTTCTGAATATCTTTTAGATATATGTGTAATCCCACCCCGAATACCACGTTCAAACATCATTAACATATCATAATCAATTAATAAATCTAGATTTTGTCCTGTTATTTTTAAACATGCATCCCAAGCCAGTCCTGGAGATGTGTAGTAATGAGCTGGATCTAGCTTGTAATGTTTAAGACAAGTTGATCTAAATTTTTCAAATACATCTGCCAAAAGCATAACATCAGATTTTAAATAAAGATTGTGATAGTCTCTTATTGTTTTACATCCAAATGCATTCCACACTTTTATTGCATGTTGATAATCTTCATCTGTAATATCTTCATCATTAAGTTTTGAATAAAATTCTTCTTTTGGTGGTAATTGTGTTTCTAATAATTTATAAAGTGATGAAACGTAATCATAAGGATAAACTCCTTTTCTAGTTAATAGTGATATATTTTTCTTAAATTCACTTTTGGTATTATGAAAATCATCTAATGACAAATTTGATACAAGATTACCAAGTGATGATTGAAGAAACTTATATGAATCTAAAAATCTTATTTCAAAAGTTATTGGGATAATATCACCATTTATATGTTTATATTCTCCAACTTTAATAGTTTTAGAAAATGAAATATATTTTTCTTCAGTAGATGGAATACAATCTAATTTTCCATCTAATTTAGCAAGTTGTTTAATAAATAGATGTGCATCATAACCCTGAAGATTATGAAATATAACTGGTAATATTCTAGGTTTTTTACACATAAGATTACATTTGTTATGTGCAGCTCCACGATACTCACCTGTAAAATGGCAATGATCTCTAACTCTATCTTTACCTAATTTATATCCACAAATATAACAATTAACTGCGTTATTAAATTCTTTTTGTGTTTTTGGTGTCATTACTAATTTTTTTGGATTGCAATAAAAATCGTTATAAATTCCTTTTGTCATTTCAGTAAGTTTTTCTACAAATATTTTTGCTACATCTTCATCATCAGAAGATTTTGTAAAAATAATTGGTTTAATTTTTTTACCAGCAATTCCTTTAGCATAAAAACAAAATCCTGATGGTTCGTGTTTTTGATAGTTAAAATTATAAGAATCTTTAGGATTAGGACAGCAACTACTCATTGTTTTAGTAATACATTCAAAATCTGCATATACAGTAAAAGGAACAGGAAGTTGTTTGTAATAATTTTTAAAATGTAAACTTGTTCCTGATTTTGGCATTTTTACAAATGATGATTTATTACTATAACAATATTTGATATGTTTATCTAATAATTCTGGTTTTGTAAAATGACAAAAACATCTCTTACAAATTTGTATTGGTTCATCTGTTCTTGTAGTAATTTGACTACGTATAAGTCTTGAAAAATTTTTAATTAGTGAATAATGAAATTTACCATCTTCTTCATACAAAAATAAATCAATAGTATTTTTACAATCTTTATTTACATCCCTCAAAGGATAAATGGTCTTATCATCATTTGAAAAAACATTTATTCCTGGAATATCTGGATTAAGATTCTCAAATTTGGTAATGTCTTTTACTTTCATTGGAAAATTAATTCCTTTAGTGTTAAGTGAAAATTCATACTTTTTTAAATCTGACAAACGACTATCATTTTTTTCTCTTGGATGAAGATAACGAAGTACTGACCAAAGAAAACATTTATCATCTTCATTTCGAATACTAACAATTGCTTTTTTTCTCATAATCCAATCTGGAAGAGGAATATAAGAAGAACCTCTCATTGGTTTAAATTCATTTGTATGAATTTCTAGTTTACTAATTTCTTTAAAATACCACCCACTACCATTATTTTGATATGTAGATATACCTTCAATAATTTTTGTTTTACTTTTACTAATTATATTTTTTACATTAGTTGAAACCAAATTAGTATGTGTATCAGAATGAAAGTATGTATGATCTTGAATAATTAATGTTTTTACACTTTCCTTTGATAACTTTTCCTTTTTTTCCATAACAACATCTAAAATAAATTTTACTTTAGTATTTCGATGATTTTTAAGAAATTCCTTAATAATAGGATATTTATCTATAAAAAACTGATTAGGTAAAACACCTGATTTACCCTTAATAATATATTTTTTAGCAAATCCATTTAATGATGATTTTTCAATTACAATTCCTTGTTGATATTCTCTTAAAACTCTCTCAAGAGCTTCTCGTAAATAAGGAGGAGTATCTTTTGGAATTTTTTTATTTTTTATACACTCCTCAAAATAATCTTCAAATGTTTTTAACTTTTTTGAAACAACTTTGGATTTAATCTTTTTTGGTTTAACTTTACCTTGTTTAATTTTATTTCCAAATTCTCTCACTTTTTTTATTTTTTCAATCACTTTCATCTTTTTTTCCAATTCCTTATAATCTTTCTTAACTTCTTGTTTTTCTTTCGAAAGAATTTTTTTTAATTCATCCAAAGACAAATTCATAAGTTGTTTATTTGTAGATGATTGAGCCATGACTTTTATTATTTATTTATTTTATTTCTTTAAATCAATTTTTATTTTCTGATTCAAAATTAATATCTAATTTATTCTTTTTTTATTTAAGTGTAGTATAGTAAATGCTGACAGCTGCCTCACTCCAAATTATTTCTGACTCTTCGAGCAATGAGAGCGATTAATTGTGAATCGAATGGAGCAAACGAATGAGTTGAGTGAAAATGAGTGAAAATGAACGAGCGTTAGCGAGTGAATTGAACGAATTGAACGAAACGAATGAGTTTTGCGAAATGAGTGAACAATTAGAGCGACATTGCGAGATGAGGCAGAAATAATTTGGAGTGAGGCAGATGGCAGCATTTACTATACTACTGACGTTTAGATGTAAGGAATGGATGGCCAAACTGAAAAGGTTTTAAACTAAAATGAAACTGCCGGATTAAGTCACACGGGCTAAAAAATCACTCCATGAACCAATCAGAACTATAGATAAAGACGTGAAGAGCGGGAAAACATGAGCCAACAGTTTTTGAGTATCTGGGCTGTCAACCTTGACGGATTCTGATTGGTTGCAAAATAAAGGCGCTGGAAGTCGTATAACTGCTAATACATTTAGTGATTTATGATTACAAGAGATGTTAAAATCTTCCTTGTAATATACAAAAGCCACATTCAAGGGAAATCTTTGCAAGTCTTCACAAGTATTTTTGTAAAAATACATTCTTTTTTTGAACACAGACAAAAGTGAGATTCTTAACAGGAGACCTGTAGCTTACTTGGTTTGTAACCAGTCTCCTCCCGGGGCCGATGGAACACCTTCTCTCATGACCTTCAGAGAAGTGGAGACACTTTTTCACGAGGTAGGAGAAAGCTTTTACTCTTCGTCAATTCTAGTTTGGCCCAGAAGGCTGTGGTTTCAAAAGCCCCGTAGTCGACGCCCCTTTCAGTACTTCTCTCCTCTCAAGATCTGAAGTTTAGCCTGCATCATGGGGGGGGAGGATGGAAGAGAACGAGAAAAAAGGGAGGGATGCTTAAGTTTGTCGTTATTCAACTCTCTCAGATCCCCTCAGATTCCCTCAAAGGCTTGCTTACTCATGGGAATTTTGGTACGATTCTTGAGGCGATTATAATTTCAAATCGCATTCGTATACTGGGAATGATGTTCTGGTGATTTGTCGCTGCGAAATTCTCGTTGTTTCTAATGTACTTAAATCGCCATTGGAATTTTCTGCGCTCAGTTGCTTAAAACCTGCCTTGGCAGGTAAATCTTCGAATCGTATCCCGGCGTCCTACGGTAACTGCACCATTAAGATTAAAAAACCAACTATATATATGCTATTACTAAACTTTATACACTAACCCATTATTATGCACTTACTACTAACTGAAGCTGGTCAAACGTTCTAATGGTGTTTGCTGGGCATAGAATAATTAAATTATTCAAGAACGTAGTTTTGTTTTTCGCCTTTTGAGTAATTTTTTGTTCCCTTTTTCCTCCGTAGTTTGGTCATGGCCTTCAGCACATGTTAACAACTGTACCTTACTCCGACGCCACTGGAATAAAGAATATCGAATGGGACGCTGTAAGTCCTTTAATTTCCCAATTGGGTGGTTTAGACACACAACAAGCCCACCGCTAAGTTACTCGTGTATTGGCTAAAATAGCCAGTGCTTTTGCCTATTGCATAAACTGCTTAATATTTGACGACTTTAACATTACTTCGGCTTGTGCTGGAGACAGGTAATTCTTAGTTTTCAGTAATTGGAATAATAATTGTCTATTATCGATAATCACAGGTTGAATTACCTTCTCAATTTATGGAAAACTGGCTATACGATAAAGCCACCATGGATCTGGTTAGCGGCCATTATCGCACTGGTGAAAGTCTACCGGATGGAATTTTTGAAAAGGTTTGCAAAGGTAGGCTGAGACCTTTCCTGTTCCAATTACGACGAGAAGTTACTTCTAAGTTTTCTGTAAAGTTTTTAGCAGGTTGATACCTCGCCCAACGTTTAGGCTGTCTGTGGAATCTGCGCGCAATATTTGGCCCATTTACTCGAAAGCCGCATTACCTAGCATTGTGTACACAGTAATATAACCAAGAGTTTTTTTTCTTCTGGCCGGAGTGAGAATTACGCCGGCTATTAGCCAATTGGTAAGAGCTCTTACTGATCTTTTTAATAAAACGGCTCCGAATTGCCCTTCCAAAGCAAAAGTAAAGGAGGCAGAATGTCACAACAGAAATACGTGGACTTCTCTACTGGCTGATAGCTTGGTGAGTATTATAATCGAAGAAATTAAATTTCTTTAACAGGAGGAAATAATGCTTTTACAGTTGTGCTGCGTCGATTGCTGATAAGCAACATCTGTTCTTATGTTTCTCGTAGCTCGTAAATTTATGGCTGGTTCTCAGATGTTACGTCAATTATATTTTGGAGCTCTTGATATGGAAATACACTCAAGGTGAGAGCAGCATTGTGGGAATATAGTAGCTCTGTCACGACCCTTATCAAAGTCCAAGCATTAGGAACGCCACCAAACTGAGTGAAACAAAAAGATAACTGCTCAAAACAAGGAAAGAAATAGAGGAAAAAACTCTCGAAGAGAAATTTCGTATCTCCAAGCGGCCATGTAATGTTCTGTTTATTATATAAACACCAATGAAATTCCAAACTATTTCTCTTTTGAACAGCTTTTCTTGCTGCAAAGTGCGCGAATTATTATGTAGTTATAGCAACGGTGATCTTTATACTTGTGAAGATAACATGTTCTTTTCACAAGTGAAGATATCATGTTTTCGCAGGAAACCTCAACCGGTATCTCACTGGTGTTTATATAATAAGGTACAATTAGCACAGCAAATACAAATAAAGGCACAAATGCACAAACGTGAAGAAGATTAGAACGGATTGCAATAGCGGTTTTGCCGAACTTGTTAGCTTAACAGTTTTTTGAAGTTCATTTTTGTTGTTTGTATGGTTTGATATAATCTTTTGGGAGAGATATTTGCTTGATACGATGCTGTGATTTTGTCAAATACAAGTAAATTCGTCGCCAACGTCAAGTTCCTTATCAAAAATAGGAGGCGGTATAAGTAGTAAATCTTAGAACAAGACAACCTCGACACAGCTTCTTTGATGTTTCCTCTTGTTTACTCCAGTTCAGATCCATGGCGTACTATTCAAGATAGGATATCCACAGAATACACAGTGGTAAAACCGCTTGAAGAAGACAGGTTCCCGTGCTCGTTTTTACACATATTCTCTTCTGCTTATGCTGCTGGATATTACTCTTACAAATGGGCTGAAGTATGTCGAATAAAACTTGTATTGGGTGTTCTCACTTCATGAAGGGTCACTTGCGAAAGTTCACCTTTTCTTGAGTTCGAAGAGTTATTTATTTATTACGTTATTATTGTTAATATTCTACTTTGTTTTGCAATATTTTTATGAGCCCTTAAACCGGCAATCGTAGATATATTCAGGAAAGGACCCTCTTGCGGTAAACGTCCTCCACAGTTCAGTGATTTGGCCCCAGGACTGTCTTAATGCTTTTTACATGAAGCAGTTGTTGTGACTTCACTTTCGAGTGGATTTTAGCCATAGCTAGCATCAAATCTAGCTAAATCTACTGGTTTTTTTAGCTGTAAAATTCAAATTTTTGTCATCTGTGGAGCTTTAAGGAATTGCACTGGGTGTGATTCTCCTCAACTGACCTTCAACATCGTTCTGAAGATGAATGTCCGAGCTAAGCAAAACAAGTTTGAATGACTTGGTGATTGACTCGATGGGATGAAGCAACTTTGAAAGTCGAGTGCCCTCTGAGAGTTGAAATTGGAAACAATTTGATGAAGTATTGACAAATAAAACCTAATTCAATTATTATTACTGTATTTAGAAGAGCATTCTATGACGAATATATTTATATATAGTTAATGACCCTAGGATTTATAGTATAGAAGTTGTGAGCACATTTTGACAAGACAGCGGCAGTGATAAACTTTCCCAAAAAAAATTGTCGGTTAAAGGGTGTTTTCAAAGGGCGGGTGGGGGGTCTAATGAAAGTCTAAGTGAAAGAAGAGGAGTAAGTAACTGAAGAAGGAATTCTTGTTTTTAATCTTATTACATCTGTTGACCAAATATAGTCACCCTATTATCAAGAGTTATTTTGTGGTCTTTGATATACTGATTTCTTTGCGATTTAAGGTGATGTCTGCTGATGCTTTCAGTGCATTTGTGGAAGTTGGGCTGAACAACAGGAATGCACTGCGTGAAGTGGGAAGAAGGTATATAGTAATCGCCCTTTTTTGGGTTACCTTAGGCCTCTTTATAAGCGAATCTGGTGAACAACCAGTTACAGTATAGTAAAAACCTGCGCCTAAGAACCTACATTTTCCCAAGATAGCCTAAACAGGTTCTCACATAAATGGCAATTAGCACAAATTTAGGCTATAGTTAGGTTCTTAAATGGGTTCTTATTCTCTGAAGAAAAAAAATATGCGTGTCTTATTGGTACTCAGTTATTATTGGTGTTCGGGTAAAAATAGGTAAACTCAACAAAGACAACGTCTTTGTGCAGCATTTTTTAACTTTAAATTCATCATGAAACAGTTCGAAAACGCAGCAATTTATAATTAAGGGGAAGTTTTGAAACAGCAATAAAATAAATAATAACATCAATGAAATGGAAACATGTAAAATGTTCTGGCCTTTTCCTTTGAAATAGCGGTAATGTAAGCGGTAAACTGCGATTACTTTTTACGGAAAGTATCCGCAAAGAAAATTATTCGTACACGCCATAGTGCAGCCTAGTTAGTTCACACCCTGGACAAGTCAAAAATAATAATGATTTCGTCCTCGCATAAATAAAAGAATAAATCAAAGAGCTCGAAATGATCTCGAACTAATTCCGCTCCCACTTCGTCAAATAACTGACTCAAACCGAAACCTCACTTTTTGCGTGCCTAATCTTGTCCCCAAAAAAGAACCTTTGGGATATTCCTGGGCGTCGCGAATCCTTTACTTGGCGCTCCGCCCAAGTAATAAGGTATATGTATTGTATTAAGTGGTATTCAGCTTATTGCAATATAAAATTTGCATATTAGTAAATTAGTATTGCAGGTGGAGTAATAAGATGTCTCCAAAGAGAATCCTGCATGTTCACTTATCTCATTTGCCCAAGTGTAGAGAATTGTGTTTTATAGATTTTTTGGAAAATACGAGCCTGTTTCAAATTTTAGGCTAAACAGGTTTTTGTATAGAGGGTGCCTAACTGGCAAATTTTAGCCTAACAGGTTCTTAGTCGCGGGTTTTTACTGTATATGAAACGAAGTTAATTTGCCTTTGAAAGAATAGTTGTTTTCTTCTGAAAGGAAGAGCAGCAGGACTGGCTTTGAAAACAAGGCTTAAAGAAAATAAAATGGAAATGGACTGTTGTTACTGTTCGGTCAGCATTACATCCCTGCTGACCTTCCTGTTGTTTGGGCGGAGTAGTGGAGTACTTTTCAACACATTTTAACCATTCCACGTGACGTAGGCATAATTTCGAGAGGATGAAATAGGAAAGGCAATGAATTCAACGGTCAAGTGACCGCTATGTAACCACGCATAGTCCTCACTTCGGGTTATGGTCATTACGTTTTTAGTCAAATTATTTATTTAAACCATTGTTATTGGGTTTTCGTGGATTCCAAAGCGTTTATGGGACTTGTCAATGTAATTCCAATTATCATGACATAGCTCCTTAGCGATAGAAGCCGCCTGTACGTTGCTTCAGACATAATTTCACATAAAACTCTCTCTTCGTAGGTTTCGTGATACTGTGTTGGCTAGCGGTGGTGCCCGTCACCCAAGTGATGTCTTTCAAGACTTTCGAGGGCGACCGCCTTCACCCGACTACTTACTGAGGAGCTATGGGCTTCAATAGTCCAGCCACCAAAAAATCAATCAGTCTTTCGACGACTTCAACTTTATTTGACTTTCTTACAAGCTTGTTGACATATACATATCGTCCTAGTAGGGTACAATTAGGCAGATTTAGCAAAGACGACGCAACGCGTGATAAGAACTTGGGAACGCGAGGATTGAGAACGGAAAACTTCGTCCGGTGTTCAAGTAATTTTTCATTTCAAATTGTAGGTGTATTTTTTAAAATTATATTACTTTGGGATTAGCTTTTAAAAAGCTAGCTCCATTGTTGTTTTTCCTTCCCAATTTGTTCAAGGTAACCAGAAAAAAAAACTGTTTTCTTTTGCCTTGGGTTTTGCTGTCTGCTAATTCGGTTAATTAAATTGAGCGAGAATTCAGGACCTTGAATATAGCACTAACACAGCAAAACTGCGGTAAGAACATAGTGACACTTTTGCCGGCGGCTGGTGTGCCACTCATTTTTGTGCTTATACCACATTTTGACGTCCTCTGTGATCTATTACTGATCAGAGACACGGCACGGCATCTATTCGGTAATAAGATTTTTAAAAATCTCTGTCCAGAAAATCAGGCAAAATTGCCGAGAAAAATATAACCTGATGCAACAGTCAAATATAAATTTCAGTAGTTTAAAGATCGGCCAGTCAATAAAATCGAAGAAGTTGGGTGCAGATGTTGCGAAGATCAGAAAGCCTCTACCCGCCCCATTTCATTTCGTCTTGCTCGCCGGAATTTCATTTACCAAGCGAGCCTGATCCCGGGTGAAATGAATATAATTAACACCAGTTTATTGGCATTTAACAAGCCTCACTATTCCTTGTTTTACCTTTTCGTTTCCCCTATAATACAACACCGGATTAATACTTGACCACAAAATAGTTAGGGGAGAGAGGACAGGCCCCAAAAGCTCTATATATTTTGTTTTTGTGACAACCGTGAGGATATTGATGAAAGCAACAGGGACGAAAATCAATGCCAATACCCCCACCACATTTGTTGTTATTTCGCTCAACCTGCGTTCTATGGCGGCATTTGCAGTGTTAGCTGTAGGATTTGCTGCATTACCTTCCTCCATCATGTCGGCTACAGCCCTGTTGTGGCGACGAAGGAGACGAATTGTCATGATCTGGAGAATGACGATGATTGCTACTGAGGGTATGGAGATGGCAGGTAGCAGGACATTTTTGAGGGTTGATTGTTGGTCAGCCGCCTCTCTGACAAAGCCACTTGTAATGGACACAGTTTAAACTGCTATACAGGCCACGAGGGCGCGATGCCAGGTTACCCAGAACTTGTATTGAGTAAAGCTTCGGACAGCTACGTAACGATCGATGCTGATAATGGTGAGACTTAAGATTGTTCCAAGAAAAGTGATCGTAGTTGCACTAAACATTGGCATTGTCTCTATTTCCCAGTACACTTGGCAAACTTGATTGTTAAGTAGGTGCTTTAATCTGAAAGCGGAAACCGTGAAAGTAGCCATTGCACTCCGTAAAAGGTCAGTAAAGGAAAGACTGCAAAGCATTAACAGGCCTGGACGAATGGATTTGATTCCGCTTCTCAATAACGCTACGATGACAGCTGCATTGGACACAAAACACCAAATGCTCAACAGCAGCGTGATTGGCGCAAACCAGTTTACATAGTAGAAGTACTGTGTCTGGAAGGACACAGAAATTCCTGCAACAAGACACGTCTGATCATCTTGGTCTTCCATCACTTTGTCGAGACTCTAGAGTAGTATAAAAAATAAAACTGTTATTTGTGGTTATTTTAACATGAGAAGCTAAGATATCGGAAGTCTTTTTCGAGGATTGAATATACCTTATTTATGATAACGAATGTTGAAGAAATTAAAATTATTTTTAACGAATGCTGCTAATCTTTTGAAGTGTGCCAGTTTGGAGTGATGAACAGCGTTTCACTGAAACGGCTAGGTCATTTGGCCAGTGTAACCGGCTGGTCAGTTTAAAAAATAAGTAGGCAATTAAAGACTAAGGGCCAAATATTTGAACGTAGTTTAGCCAGTGTTCAACAAAACTGCGTTCTAAGTCATTTTCAATTTGCCCAACGATTTTATCTAAGCATCATTTATTGTGAACAGTTTTATGAAAGCATATAGAGAAGACTATAAAAGCATTTATCTTCTTAAAACAACCCACCAAAGAAAAGATCTGGAGGTTCAAAGATTCGTTAAACCGCGGCTTAAGTTAGACTTAGTTTAAATATTAATTTGGCCCTAAGAATTTATAACAACCTTTAGTATCTCTTTTTCTGTAATCTTTATTTCTATATCCTCGCTATTACTATTTTCCTTTCCTTTTCTTCCACTAGTAAGAGTTTTGGGGTTCTTTCCTATAGGAAAGGTTTTACTTATATTTTTACCTATTGAATTTTTACAAAACGCAATTTATTATTATTTTCTTGATTTTAAATGTCTTTAAGCGTACTATATTTACCCCATAACTCAAAGGAAACGAGAATAGTGTAATTATATTTGATTTCTCAGCAAACGCAAATTATCCATAGCTAAAAAAATTATCAGTGGTCAAAATAAAGTGGATATATTATTGTTATTACTGTTTTGGGATCGTGTGAAACTAACATACGGCCAAATTACTAGTAAGCCAACCAACGATAATACATATACTTTTTCTTTGTTTTTGTTTTCTTTTTCCCAAACCCTCAGCCACTGAAGTAAAAAATCAAAGTTAAGTGTTGGGCGCTTTTTTGGGGGGCTGTTAAACTAATGCTTTCACTTTTGTTTTTCTGACGACTGAAAAACAGGAATTGAAAATTGTCATGAAAGATTTAATCATCGTGGATAATATGTATAAAGGATTTAGTTTATCGTTTGTCTCACGATTGTCACTTTGATATTGATCGCGACGTTTCGACCGCACACTGCAGGTCCTCCTCAGGCGAAAACTTCCTTATTATGTTTTAGATGTATAGTTGATAAGTATTAAAACATTTTAATTAATAATAAGGAGGGAAATCCGTGTAGCCCACTTCATCGTCATTTGGGATCGCAGACAAATTATGAAAACTCCAACGGTTAAGGAGTTATTACCACGCTATTTGCTAGCATTTAAGGTGGCTCGACTGGATTTTTTGGGGTTGCTACCTCCCAACTTTGAGCATTAACTACGTCGGCATGAGTAAAGATATGGAAAAAAGGTTACCACAACTGTATTATGTAAAGATGAAAATTTCTTATGATCTGGGTTTTATTGCAATCGGAGTCGCCATGGCAACGTAATGACGTAATTACGTTTTTCATGTATCTTTGTGTTTCTCTGTTCCAGGAGTTTTTTGATGAAATCGCTTAAGGGAGTATGTACCTGCTATAATTGCCTCCATTATGGTAAAGTTTGAACAAATTCTATGAGAGCGTTTTCGAAATATTTTGAAATGTAGTTTTAAGAATGATAAAAACAGTGAAATAGCATGCTACCTACACAATTCCCTAATATTTTAAGAAAATGATAAGCTTTGGGAACGAGGCTTCATCTCATAGTGGTTTGACTCCATTGAAAACTGCATACGAAAAAGAGGAATTGCTCTGGGCGATCGCGAGTAAGAAGAATTTTATTAACTTGCATTTAGCTGCTTTTGATACAGTTTTTGGACGTAATTTGGTCCATCCTAAAAATTTCGCATTTTCCAAAAACCGCTCGATAAATTTTTTTTATAAATTCGACAATCCCGAGATCAATCGTCAAGAAATATTCCTGCAAGTTTTAAGAACATTGAAAATAGGGAAGGCTTTTAAATAGGACCTCAAATATAACCAATTTTCCCCCCAGATTTTGTGTTTACAAGTGAGCGTCCTCATTATTCACTGGCATTGTTTTCAAGTTTCAATATACACGTGCACATTTAGCAAAAAGATAGAATTTGCATCAGAAAGGACCCTCGGTTAAATCTTCGGGATATGCTAATTACCGGGTAAAGAGATTAATGACACATTATAACATCAAAGCAACTCTTTGTGATAGTTTCTGTGATGTTATAACCCGAGTAAGATAATTAAGTATTCCATCCTACGCGATGAGCGGTGACGTTCACCGTTTCGGCTCTCACTGCTATCTGTGACGACAAGCCAACTATTAGCATATTCCTGATATTTCTTCGGAAAGTAATCGAGAGTTCTTTTTTATGCAAATTTATATCTTTTGCTGGTTGTGCACGTGCATATGAAACTTGAAAACAATGTAAGTGAATAATGAGGACGCTCACGTGTAAACACAAAATCTGGGGGGAAAATTGGTTATATTTGAGGCCCTATTTAAAAGCCTTCCCTATTTTCAATGTTCTTGAAACTTGCAGGGAATATTTCTTGACGATTGATCTCGGGATTGTCGAATTTATAAAAAAATTTATCGAGCGGTTTTTGGAAAAATGCGAAATTTTTAGGGATGGACCAAATTACGTCCAAAAACTGTATCAAAAGCAGCTAAATGCAAGTTAATAAAATTCTTCTTACTCGCGATCGCCCAGAGCAATTCCCCTCTTTTTTCGTATGCAGTTTTCAATGGAGTCAAACCACTATGAGATGAAGCCTCGTTCCCAAAGCTTATCATTTTCTTAAAATATTAGGGAATTGAGTAGGTAGCATGCTATTTCACTGTTTTTATCATTCTTAAAACTACATTTCAAAATATTTCGAAAACGCTCTCATAGAATTTGTTCAAACTTTACCATAATGGAGGCAATTATAGCAGGTACATACTCCCTTAAGCGATTTCATCAAAAAACTCCTGGAACAGAGAAACACAAAGATACATGAAAAACGTAATTACGTCATTACGTTGCCATGGCGACTCCGAATGCAATAAAACCCAGATCATAAGAAATTTTCATCTTTACATAATACAGTTGTGGTAACCTTTTTTCCATATCTTTACTCATGCCGACGTAGTTAATGCTCAAAGTTGGGAGGTATCAACCCCAAAAAATCCAGTCGAGCCACCTTAAATAACCTAAAAGGCGTCT